AATGTCAAGTTTTCCTTTTACATTTAACTTTTTTTTTTTTTTTTTGGGGGGGGGGGCATTATTTTTTAATAGAAGAGAGTATTTCATGTTTTGAATCATTGCTTTTGGCATGCCAGCAATCTATGGTAAATGGGTATTGATTTTCTTTACTGTTTCCCATCCTAACATCAATAGCTGCAGCTGAAGCAGCAGTGAAATATAGCAGATATATGGCCAGCAATAGGTCAGACTGCAGCGAGTTGCCAGCACGCCAGCCCATAATGAATTTACACTTTCAATAATCTAGCGTTATCTCGGGCTTTTCAAGAGGTGTTTAACTCAATCTGAGTCTGTTCAGGCTAAAGAAAGCTTGTGTACAAGTTTCAGAAACATCCAAAATTAGATATTTTACAATAACAAAATCTTTTCCATCATAAATTTGGTTAAAATATCTAAAGTACATATATGTAAAATCCAAAACAAAACTTCAGCTTAAGCTAGGCAGTCTGTATCAATTGCTCTTTAATACATCTCCACACTTGTTCCTGACATCATAATATCATTCAAATACAGCAGAAAGGCATAATTAAAATAATGATGATAATATATACCTCTCAAATACCAAATCAAACAAACAAACCACTCACCTGTGCTTCATTGAGACCAAGATCAATCATTTCCAGAGACTTTTTAAGAATCCCAGTTTTCTCCTCCACCAAGTTTGTGTCTCCATGTTCTGCTTTAATGGCCTCCAGTGAGGAGAGGAGACTGTTTAGAATCTGGTGGTGCTCATTCTTCAGGGTGTCCAGCCCCTGCACCACGGTCTTGGTGTTACTGATGATCTCCTCCTGGGTCAAGGCAGTCATCTTGCCTATTTCTTCAATCTTCCTTCTGAAATTATAAAAAAAAAATTACTCTTGATGTATACTTATTCAAAACTATCTTATTTACCACTTCGATCCCTTCTCTGAAACAAGAGAAAGAAAAACAAATTGACTACTTTCACATTGCTTCAATTTGTTCACAAAAAACACAAATAAAGAACCCTTCCTTAAGTTTAATGCAGTTACAAAATGTCACATAATTTAAATCTTAAAACTTACTTTTAAAACTAATTTAAAAAAAAACAAGTACTTCTTATCTATCATTTTAATTGTAACTCTATCATTGTAGAAAAAGAGTCCCAATTTGTAATGTGACACATACCAGTTTCCATATCATGTAATCACTTCCCTTTTTTCATTAATCACACAGTAACACTATCATACCTACAGTGACATTATGACACTTATTTATGTGAACCAGTTCCTCAGGTCAATACTCCCTTTCCTTAAGTTAACATTCAAGGAAAAGGTCCTAGAGGAAATTACCTGTAAGTCTTACATTTCAGAACATACTCTATCAACACATCTACCTGTTAGAAAACAAAAGGTCAAATTGTAATAGTTCTTACCAGTCTCAGATCCACAGGCTAGATAAAACACTTCCTCTCCCAGTCAAAGTATGAATTTCAAATATAAAAACACTGGTTTTTAACAAATATACTGTCACCTGACCCACAAGTTCAAGTTACATGGTGAAAAGAAGGATTTCCTCACCAGGCATGCAGCTACTATTGTGTATAGCTTCACCTTTCCTTTTATTTCTAATTAAATATAATGTAATAGCATGTATTCAAGGTGCCATATATAGCAAGTATGTTGGTTTACATACCTAGAGACCTTCCTTACAAAGCAAAGTTCAATACCAACCCAGGTATCATATAATAAATCCACACATGAGAGTGTCCAGTAAGGTAAACAGCTTGATGACGAAGAGTGCTTAAGAAGCTTAATTTTGGAAAATGTTACACCAGACTTGTAATTCACACCATGTATCCTTGAAAACTCTTGTCTGTGCTGAGAGAACTGAACAATTGTATATAATGCAATTGGTTGTTAACAAGTAATATTGGATTGGACACAAAGCTTTCACTGAAACTGCTCACTCTAGTTCATAAAAACAATAAAATGTTTCCATGACATCAAGGTGGGGATCGGTCTCATGTGTTGTCTATATATTTGAAACATTAAGTCTTTGAAAGAAATACCATCATCACATTTTATCTGAATATGGGTATAAAACCATAAAGGTGATGTTGTCAACATCACACCTACATTACCATTACATTTTTCTGATACAACTGAATAAAAAGCATAAAATTTAAAAAAGCCATTATTTACTGTCAAAGTTCTTTAAAAAATAATTTCTTAAACCTTTCAGCAAATATATCAACACCAATCACAATGCATGCTTGACTGAAAATTTTCTAGTAATATCTATGGAATGTGCAGTTGCAAAACACATTTCCCGTTACTTTTTTTATGTGATATTCTCTGGCAGACATTATTGATTCACACAGACGTTATGGAAATTGAATCTGCATTGTAACACACTTGCCATCTTGGGTTTCATCAATAAGTTATTCTGTAAATTGTGGGGTAAAAAATGAAGGAAAATACTGACTGAACACCTACACGCCTTTAACTAGCCTAAAATATTCTTATACAGACAATTACATCATAAATTATAAAGACCCTACAGTAGCTTGTGAGGAAGAATGGGAAAGCAGGATGTCCAGTTATCTTTCCCATGACTAAAGCACAGCTCAGTAATATTTCAAAGTATTAATCACATGTGCAATCACATAAATCAAATAAGCATTTTGTCAGTGTCACCTTCATTCTCTGTAATATCTATGATCATATTAATTCCATCTCAGACAATGCTGTCCCTAATTAGTAAGCCTGTATTAGCATAGCCATAAGATATGTAACTCTAAAACCCATCTGTTCTCAAAGACTACTATGTTTACAGATATATCTTTAGCAATTTAATTCATTTGAACTAAACAATGCCATTATGGACAGAAACTGGGTAACATACGTATGTATATTATGCACTTTTCTACTTACAAAAGTATCTGACACAAATCAAACAGAAAATAGCCCCAAATTAAATAAACAGTGCCAAATGGCAATTCTCTCAATCTACCTACCTGCCCATACTTTGCTATATGTGTAACAAAAAGCCCATGACTCACTATACCTGCCCTTTGATTTATCATACAACACTTAATTGATCTGATGCCTTAATATCATGTATTAATGCTATGAAGCACTCATCCTTCACTATTCCATAAAAATAACAAGTGACATGAAATGATGTGATATCAAACAATGCCTACTTACATAATGTAGCTCCTCATGAATGACATGGCAAGGAGAAATCCAAATGAAATGTTTCAAAAGTCATTAACTGACAAGAGAAAGGTGGGACAGAAAAACCCAAAACTTGGGAGGCGTTGAATAAGTTTACATCTCACTGGAAGACATGACGTGACTCCAAATCCAAACGTTCCTCCTCACCCCACTGCTGCCCACAAACACAGCAGCCACTCTATTGAACCAATATTTAGAATAATTTATGTCACTGCAAATGCGTATTCCGTCTATACTGTTTCTCCGAGGGACAGAAATTATCATAAAATGGCTCCAAGTCTGGCAATCTGCAGCCTACATACAAAGCAAGCATATTACAGCAGAAAGTAGCAGTATTGATTTTCTCCCATCTCTGACTGAGTGACACATCTATTGATCTGACGCTTTTAACCCAATCTGCTATTCCATCCACATATTCTGGACAAACATCATGATCAATATATTCACACAAAAGAGCTTGTATATTCAAGTAGGTGTAACATGCTGCTCTTATCTTTAATGGATATTTCAAATAACTCTACATATTCATTTATATGGAGCCTAATAATACAAGTACACCATCATACCAGAAACTTGGATATTAAATAGCAGAAATGAAGATAATACCTATTTTTATTTATATTAGGCATTGAATATCTAATAGGCACAAGTGAAAGCATGTAAAAACAATTACAATCGATTTTATCCTGAACTACATGTACTTATGTATGCAACCTAAAATATCTCCCACCAGGTGTCAGCATCATACAGTCTGACTAATGTCAATATCTTATAAAATATTGACAAGAAAAACACTCATATATTACATGTAACTTGTACCTAGAATATTTACTAATAAAGTTCTGATCATTCAACATTTAAATCAACCAAACCTTATAAAATCATAAATGTCACCCTTGGGGGGAAAACTGTTTTTCGGTTCACCACCAACTTAAATTAAATTTTCATTGGTAAGTGCCACTTAACCCTTTCAAAGAAGGATTTTAATGCATAAAATTAATACCACAATACAACAAATCTCTCATTCCGTCCTTCGGCATGCAGTAAGCCTTCAAAATTTTCTTTGAGAAAACAATAATGGAAATTCTGACACTCCCTATAGCTGATATCAAACATCAAACCACATAGCCTACATCATCGTGAACTGGTATATCTATGTCTGGTACTGTCTTGAGGAGTACGTACATCAGATAGACTGCCTTGCTGCCCCTGGTCTCCATCAGCAGCCTCTAAGCCTCTACACTTTGCTGGTTCACTCTTTCTCTCTGCCTTACCTCATTATATACTATATTCTTCTGGTAGCTGACAGAGAACTCTCCAAGTGCACTGCTATGGAGGATGAATCATCTATAGAACCAACAAGTATGCAATTTTTCTGAGAAACTTATGAAAATGTATTCTCCCACAATGGCTGCGTTGCTAGGCTGCGGCGAGGAGTTTCAGTGCAAGTGTTTTCATCACTTCACAAACACAATGTCTGGGCACACATTGTTAATCAAAGGATGACTTCCACCATGATACCATCTTCTCTTGACATTTTGTTAGCTAATATGTTAATTTGAGTAAGATCCCTGCAGCGCTATTTCTTTGATTGATAAGAGGAAGAGATAGTCACAGAATACACATACAGCGATTCTGCTACAATTGCCAATAATTTTTTTACTCATAGACAGCTTTATATCAGATCATCATTTATGCTATATTTAGAATTTACAACATAACAGCTTGTCATAAAGAATATGAAACAAGATCTATCTTCTGCCTTATAATTTTACACTACTTAAACAGCACTTTGAAATATATTGCACATACCCATTGGTAATTTCATAAGTACAAAAAAGTAGCTGATCTTTCCTTATCAATCATATTTTTGGTGCAAATAGCAGAATTGTCAGGTATACTTCTAACAGTAATAAATAAGTCTGATATATGACCCTGTGTTGTTGGGAGTCCCACAGACACACCTGCTCCTTGCAAACAGTTTTGGATCGGTGGAGAGTGATACATTTTTGCTTTCTAATCTCAACCCAGAGATATTTAACAGAGCACTGCCCAGTGAAAAAGGCCAACTTATTCATAAACTGGTCTTGTTCTTGAAATCGATGATTTAAGTTAAATCAGAAATGAAGGCATACACACTGAATGGGCAGATTTTATAGACTTTCATCAAATGATTCGGTTCTTTTCATTTGCAGACCAGGTTCCATGTAATTGAATAAATACAAGTGTCAGTGTAAGATAAGTCCTTGGCACATGCCACTGCTCAATGAGATTAATTCTCTGTGGTATTCTTGTTGTAAAGTCTACTAACATTAGGATCTCCTTCAGTCAGCTAAATTGTTTTTGGCTTGATAGCAAGATAACCACACCCTCTACAGGTACCTCCAACCTGTCTGTTCCAAAAGGTATTTTCTTTTCAATGTGCATTACCTACATGCCTCTAAAACTACAAAACTATAAAAATCCTGGTTGTAATAGTACATGTGATAAAGAAATAGCATTAAATAAATATTATCAATATTTCAATAAAATTGTGTATAACAGCGCATATCAAACAGCACTAGACTTACACTAAATATGTTTGATAATTTAATTTTAAGCTATGGAGATTTGTCAGTATTATGTTAACAGTGTCACATTACAGTGTTTTCTATTAAACTAAAGGTAAAAGTTTGAACTCTTTTCTCTGAGCAAGGCAAATGCACTTATAAATCACTCAAGTCACCAGAATCCTCAAGTATCCAGCATCTTTCAAATAACTGAAACAGAATTTTGAGGCCAATGGCAATATGTGTTGTTATAGATTTTAGAAATCATAACAATGAAAATGTTATGACACTACAAAAGATCAATCTTGAAAATAAACATAAATCTCTGTTTACCTTTGAATCCCATTACTATTCTGATTTCCCATCTGGTCACTCAAATTTCCATACTTATTGTTCCTTGGTTCTAACTTCTAATAACTTCAACAAGCAGCAGCAGCAGTGTTCCTTTGCATTTAACACATTTGCTTCAAAATTCAGAACGGAAGGCAGGAGTTTGAACCATGCATTTCAGAAATGCCATCTCAGTTTGCACTGCTATAAATGCAGTTCCAGCACCACTTTCAGGCTGCACATTCTACTAGGTCAAATTTGAAACAGGCCTATTCAATAACATGGTAATGTGAATATTTGTCTTATATCCTTTGGGAATTAAAGCTATACCTGAGCCTCCAATCCTTGAAACAGCCAGAGATTCACTGAACACATGGACATTCAAACATAAACTATCCTATAAGACTGCAACTCTCCAATCAGATTTCAACCTATTTATATTTCAGGTGGCAACTTCAGTTAAAATGAACCCCATTGCCATAAGTTCATCACCACTGCAGCCACCAAGAAATGCTTGTCATCTGAGCAATAACACACAACTTATTATAATCTTGAAACCTCACAGAACACAATGTGTCCATAACTTTGTCCTCTAGGGTAAAAACAAGGGCTTGTGCAAAAAGTAAAACATGTACAAAAGAAATATCATAACATCCAGTTACTGGATGTTATAAGGTTCAACAGTGAAAAATCTATAACAGTAACATAATGGAAAGTGCAGCTGCTTTCTACAAGTTCTCTCCCAATGACTCACATTTTTTATTTGTTTTTCAGCAATGCATAATTGAAAGTTGTAAAAACTGAAAATTTTGAAAATGAAGCTTGCAGTTCCTCAACCCATTTAGACCACATGAAAAAAATCTAAATGAAAACTGAAAATCCAGAAATCAGGCATAATCCTAAAAACTGTCACCCATGTGCATAATTTATTCAATGTCTGAGAGGAAACTAGTCACCATTCTTTATCAAAAACATATTTGTTGCTTTAAGTGAAGGACCATATTCCTATGAAGGACCATTTTCCTATTAATTAATTCCAGTTTGACAGTGGGGAAAAGTTGCCTGATTCTGTGTTTACAAACTGACCTGTTATAGAGTGAGTTAAATACCAGTATAAAAACTAAAAAAAAAAAAAAAAAAAAAACACTTATAGACATTAACAACTTGGCTGAACTGATGGTAGATCTGCAAGTGTTGTGATAAGTAATTTCTCAGAATGATTAACATACTGTTGGCAATACAAACTGATGAAGCTGCAGATGATTGATTTAAAGATAGAGATATTTCTTAATATAACTGAGTGAAAATAAGATGAAACAAAAATCACAAATTCTACTGCTTTAATTATCAACTTTATTACTGGAGTTTAGCATAAACCACCTGGTTACATCCACTGATCAAAGCTCTCTGCCACACAGGTACACACCTGTTGTAACATTTTGTAAGCCAGGAACTGCTTCTATTTCACATCCCCTCTAAGGGCCGTTCAGTTTGTCTACATTAGTTAGTGCATATCAACTCTACAGGGACTCTCACTTGATGACTGAATACAATCAGATTATCAGACTAAGAGTGCATTCAGGACAAGTTGATCCACAAATAACAGACCGTGGACCAAATATGGCCAAACACCTAAAAAGCAATGCCGACTAACCTTCTGATGGTCTCCATGCCTCCACATGCCCTGTTTCGCAGAGGCCTAAAAATTAAATCTCGGAGCTGAGATTTAATCCGTTTAATGATGTATGTGGGAGACCATCAGGAGATTAGGTGACTTGCTTTTAAGTGGGAACAGCCATATTTAGTCTGCTGCTCAGTTAGCCCACAGATCACCTGTTCTGAATATGACAGTACATATCATCTTTGTGCCGAGGTGATTTCAGAGAAGCTGGTGATTCAAACAGTAACGTTAGAAACAAGAGCAGCCGTGTTAGTCTGTTTATCTGATTGCATTCAGTGAGAGTTCCTGTAGAGTTAGTGTGCAGGGAGTCTCACTGAATGCAATCCGATTAACAGACTAGCTAATCGGCATTAACTCTTTCTGAACAGCAGTAGGTATGACAGTGGATAGGACGAGTTATAACACAAAGACACAAGTGCTTGTTTGATGCAGCTCACTGCCTAAAATCTCTGAGACAAGAAATCAGCATTAAACTGTCCAATATTGGTAAATTGCTATGGCATATAAATGTCAAAAAGCACCTGTTAATTAAGCACACACACTGAATGACATTTGATATTGCAAGCACTTCATCCATAATGACCCAATGGCTAGCGTTCAAGTCAAATTAGAGGTATGATTTGAAGAGAAAGGGATTTCTTTTGAAAGGGTACATTTCATCCATAAGATACACTTATTGTTTCCTAAAGCATAGCAGAAACACAAATAATACTGTATATATTCATGCAAAGAGTGATTTCCTCACACGCTAGGCTGAATGTTTTACAACTTATATATACATTACCTCTGCCCGCTGTCTCCTTCTCCAGTTGACATGACTGTCATTAGATCATGCACTTAATGTTCAAAACATGTCCTGAAATACACAGAAAGCACATGCAATAGGCAACATAAAACAAGCAATACATGAAATAAGACAATTACTCCACATTCAAGAAAAAAAATTTAAACATGCACCATCAAAGCACCAAGTGATGGACTACCAAACAATAAACATACATTTAAAACAGTACTAGTACATTATGTGACAAGACTATTGCAATATGTTCTAAAATCCACAGAATATACTTGCATCAGATGCAATTTCTACAAAAAATATTAATTAATCATATATCACATAATTAAATAAAACAAAACTAACTTTCTACCTAGCTTCATTATTACTACAAATTAAAACATGCAATTTGGTGTCTTTAAGTAGGATGCTTTAAAATAAAACATTCTCACACACCCCTCTTGACACAAAATTTCATATTTCTGAAACAATAATAATAAACACAAGTAACATAATTTATCATCATGAATTAAGTAATCTGGCATTTACATTGGAAACATGAACAATGAACACAGGCACGTCCACTTTTTCTCACACCAAGATGTTATCCATCTTGTGACCTGCATTAAGCAGAAATGTATACAAATTCTCTTATCAGTTAGTAACCTAGTACCAAAAAGCAATTTATCAGTTTTGGTTTAAACATCTAAACCACATTAGTAATTTCTTTAATGCTTGCAGATTAAATAAACTAGCGCAGATCAAAACTCCTTCATTGTTTTTTTTTTCCTTAGAACTTTTCTAGCGGTAGAGGCAGTTTACAATATGATAAGAGCTCAAAAATCTGGAAGCTGAAAAACTGGACCGACAAAATAAGTTGAAATTCAACAACAGTCCCCAAACTACTTTTCATGAAGAGTAGCTTGATTTGAAACAACACTATTGTACGCCTCTCTGGCAAGGCTTTCCCCAGAGAGCTCTCAGCAGTCATATAGAGGGCCATTAGGCCTCGTAGGATGGCCTGTATTTCCAAAGACGGCTGGACGCCTAAAATTTTTGCTTGGGTTGGACTCCCTGTAAATTGATGACCAAATTATAGATTCACATTTTGAACTACCAGATCCTGTACCCAGAGCCTGAGGAAACCCCTGTTCTCTGGCAACTAGATTTTCATTCCAGAATACCCAAATAGAGCTCATGATTTCTAAGTATCAATGATTATGAGTGTTATTCAAAGTATGAAGAGATTTATTTCTCTAAATTTTAATAAGAGTGGTAATTTACAATAAAACAATGAGAAAGGCTATGCCTATGCTTCACCTAGTACCATTCTAACGAATAAAGTATTCCAACTAAATTAAGATAATAATACTACTAATATTTGAATGCATTTGGGAAGCCTATGGCATCCTATCATGAATATAATTGTGTCCACATTGAAAAAGAAACCACATTTTGCATGCAAAGTAATTTTTGAGACATTTATGGGTTGGTACAATCCAATGACAACGTCAAGTCAGTAAAAATGGATTTATAGTGCTTTGTAACTCTACTGTCAAGATCTTATTACTTACGCTGTTTAATAAATGTGAGGTTAGTTAGTGAGGCTTGGGGTCCTAGATCCTTGGCAGTGACCGACAAAAAATGTTTTGGTGGGTGAACTCAATAAAGTATGGAACTATAAATGTACAGACTGTATGTTGTCGTTGACAACTTAGGTGGATCGGTAACGTGAATTTTACTTCCGCATCAAGTTCAACATTCCTGTGACACAACTAAATATCTCGCAAGTTCATCAGCTCCTTCCTATATCTCTACGTCATTGTTATACACTACCATAAGGCAAATAAGTACATTAGAAAAGCGTTGGTCTTGATCAAATGCCCAGCCCAACCGTCCTTCTTTCCTTCTAGTCCCAAGATGGCGGCCTGCAGGTGATGTAGACATCACGCGAGATTGTACGAGATTATTCTCGTAAAGTTTTCCCCTCTCTTTCTACTGTTTCAATAAATTTTCACATTTGCTTAAAGATATTTCGCCAATTTTCATTTATTTTCCTTTTCTCCTAGTTTCTTTATTTGATCTCTTTTCCCCTATTTTCTGCCAGTTTAAAAATCAATCCCAATATATTAGAGCGTTGACTTAGTTTGATGACGAGCACTCAGTATAGCCTCACTCAGTGGCGGATTTAGGGGGATGATAGGGGGGTCCTGACCCCCCTTCGCAATTTCAGTGAAAAAATCACACCAATGGTCCCCTCTTGAAATTAGATTTTTGACTAGCTGAATCATAGTTTTAAACGGGGGGTCTCGATAGTCCGAATTAAGGTCTAATAAACTGATATAGATATATTAGATCTTAGGTCCGAAAAATGGTAACATTTTTCATTGGTTTTTTTAATCAAGGGTTCATTGGTCCGAAGGTTCTTTAGTGAACATTCGGACCAATGAACCGTTGGACTATTGAAGCCCTCTTTTTATCCTCCAGCCTCCTGACTATATATATCTACGGTCCCCCCCCAAATGGCCCTCTAAAATACCAATTTTTTTCGGGGAATGCTGTTCGTCTAAGTTACTCATTATTTGGAAACGTATAACTTTTCACGCGCCTACTTTTTACTAGCTGTAATAATATTTGATAAATATGAGTAATTTTACATTAAATGGGACCGAAATGGGGTGCGTTTGCATGGACTGCGGATCCCCCCCCCCCCCTTTATGCCTCCTCCACCCTGATATCCTTGATCTGGCAGTTCTGTACAAAAATAATACACCATTCAAATAATCATATAATGCAACTCATAAAACTGTCGCAGGTACCGTCAAAGAAAAAAGTTCAAATCGTTTCAGAACACATGCATGAGCTTATAAATACGAGTAGGCCTACTGAGTAGGCTATATATGCCGAGCGCTTTTTGTTTTATTGAAGAGCTATATATGTGTCAGTTCACTAGAGAGTTGGATAATTTTAATTATTTAAATAACTGTCTATTAACTTATAGTCTGAGTATAAGCCTATTATTATTATTATTATTATTATTATTATTATTATTATTATTATTATTATTATTGTTTTTTTTTATTATTTTTTTTTTTGGTGTTGTTGTTGACAAATTTCCCAATCTTGCAATTGACAACGCAACAGAAAGTCAAGATATACTATATAGCCGAATACTAGTAGTCTAGAAATGAAGAACGCGTTTGGTACATTTAGAGTAGGCGTACGTGCACGTTTTTACTTATAAACTTTGTGCTGGGTAGCTTTTTTTTTTCCAGAAAATGTTACGCGCTTCCTTGTGCATGGTAAATCTTCATTTTTTTTCCAGTGGTAAGTAGCTGAATTGTTCGAAATGTGACGGGGATGCCATAATTATAATGAGTATCCACACCACGTCTCTGGGTTTTAATCCTACACTGTACATGTAGGGACCTACGGGGTCCTATAGGGGCCTACTTTTTAAAAAACGTGGGGGAATTTACACACGGCGCCCTATTCGTCTTATTCGGATCCCATCACCTTCAAACTTCGACCATAGTCATGATTTTTTTTTACTATAAGAAAGCCTTCAGTAAACTGTTGATTGTAGTTATTTAAAAGCAATATAACGTTTTTTTTTTTTTCAATTTTTATTGAACACCCAGTGCCACCTTTTGGTGAACCATCGACCTGTGTCGTCATGATTAGCGACGTCACCATCCGGGTATTTCCTCATCGCCAAGAATCATAAGGTATGATAATGTGTTCATCGATATCGTGATTTAACATCTATCCCAGTAGCTTTATTAAGCAATTTACCATACTTATTAAAGGACGATGTTCGAAGTTCTAAACTTGATCTTTATTTTTTAGATTCTGGTGTCTGTCCGTCGGAGAAAATCGACAGAGTGCGAGCAATCTTCGGGACCTTGTCCCAGCGCCATATTTTCACCACGCCACGTTCTTTCTTTTCCAAATATTCCAGCGTTTTTATGACTTTTTCGCGACAAAAAGGTAAGAGAAAATCTGTAATTCCATGAACACTTTCTTAATTGTCTTTGGTAGCTTATGACAATGCTAATTTATATTTGGACAGGTAGCTGTCATTACGCCGTATGGTTAGTGTGACGACAATGTCAAATGACGACGGCTGTTTTTACTGCGTCTCAACATTTATTCTCGACACAGGAGGCAATGTTTTTGTATAAAGCAGTATTTAAATTGCATGTTGGAAAATTATAATGTCAATCTTTAGTGTTATGTACACATTTCAAAACATTCATTGTCAGAATTACATTATCATGTCTACATCACCTTTTTTGCAGCCCCTTTTCTGACTTGCATTATTATTATGACACCGAATACTATGCTGCCCGTCCTTTCCATATAAAAAAGGAAAGGAAATATAATATGATAAAGATTAAGGATGATTGATCTGTGAGAAATTCTGTGGTCTTACACCTTCAGTGTGCAGAATAACCTAGGCCTATGTGACAAAGGAAACAAAATGAAATGAAAACCTGCAATATGAAAGTAATATGAAAGAATAGTGATCAGTTTATCAGTAGAAGTTTTTGACCTGTTTATATATTTAATTGGATATATATTACAAAAGTTTAATGGTGATAGCTGAGAACATAAATTATTTAGCAGTTAGCCAGATCTGTTTCATTTCTGCTCCAAAAAAGGGCACCCTGAAGTTGTTATACAATATCAGTAAAATTATCAGCATGACAAACACTTATCAATAAGGTCACAATATCACATCAACCTGCAATTTGAATGAATTGATGTTTTCCAACTAGCTAAAAGTCCTCATTATTTCTATGCACCCTATCAATATCTGTATATCTAACTAAATATACTGATGCTGATATAGTGAGGTTGTCCAACTAGAATGTCATCCATGGAAAAATTCACTAGTGATATTAAAGGACATAGTTGTAGCTGTAATATTTACCACAGACACCTTGAGGTATCAATATTGAAACCTCTGGTATTTTCAGTGCTTGCTACTAATTCCCAGGCAACTGTCATAGGCTGACACAATACTAAAGAAATTAAAGAATGATAAAACAGTTGATAAAATTCATAATATGATTGAATGCTCTCATGCAAGTTTAAATCGGGGATTTTTACACAATACAAAGAGCACATGCCTTTTCAAACTGAAATGTGTAATATCGGATTACATCTTTTTATTGCTTTTTCTTTTTCTTTTCAGTTCTACCTCCGTGCCGTTTGCTCGACACAGGTCATAAAATAAAAGAGACTATAAAAATCCCAACAACAAATTTTTATATGAAATTCAGCAAGAATTGCCGTCCTCGTGATTATCGTGGTAATTTAGGAAGTATTTGTAGTAGACATAAACTATATAGAAGTACGGCATCATGGCTCTCAATGTCAACAGAAATGTCTCCGATCAGTTCTACCGCTACAAGATGCCACGGCTCATAGCCAAGGTGAGTTTAAAAGTAATAATCTATAAATTTGTTTGTAATCATTAGTAGGTAAAATGTAGTGTATCAAATCCAATCATTAAATGTATCCACCTTAACCTAGCATGGCACACCTTAGTTTGTGATTCAGCCTGTTGAATTACAATTGTTGGACAAATGAAATGTATGAGCAAATGCTTTGACAGAGTGTTAACATATATTGAAATGCAAGTGCTCTTGCATGAGTTTTTATGTTATACTGAATTGCCCATTTGGATGTTTAAAGTTTGTGTAGATCAGTTTCTAACATTGAGCTTTGGGCAAAACCTAATTTTTTATTTATCTGAAAATTCAGCATTGTAGTCAATCACTTAATTTTACAGAAATTTTCTTTTATGTAAGAACATGTTAGTAGAGCAACCTTGATAAGCATCTGAGATGCAATGTATGTTATTTATAGCACATAATGACATTTCCTGTATCTGCCCATAAAACAGATTGTTGGGTTAATGGATGAGATATTATTCACATAGAATAATAGGTTCAACATTATATTGGGGAAAGTACATTTTCTGTGGAATAGTATTTAAAAAAATACCAATGGTTGAGCACATCTGTTTATGCCATGCAAATGTCATTCTATTTCTTATGCTGATTACAGGTCTGCAAGGAGCCCTGATTCACAAACCAACTTGCATACTAATGTATTACTAAATGCACTGAATTTCTCTCTTAATGCTTCAGTCATTATTTTTGTCAGGTTGAGGGAAAGGGAAATGGTATCAAAACTGTCATTGCAAACATGCCTGAAGTTGCAAAGGCACTGGGAAGACCTCCCACTTGTAAGTGAACAACTTATTTTATTTACACTGCAATGTAAAGATTTCTTTTGATGGTAACTAACAGAGCTAATACTGACATAATATATTTTAAATCATCTAATTTGAAAAAATATATATATATTATAGAATACTGTCCTTATTTTTATATATGGCATTACAGACCCTACTAAGTTTTTTGGTTGTGAGTTGGGTGCCCAAACACAATTTGACTTAAAAAATGAGCGCTTCATTGTGAATGGTGCCCATGACTCTGCCAAACTACAGGATTTGCTGGATGGCTTTATCAAGAAGTTTGTGCTCTGCCCAGAGTGTGAAAATCCAGAAACCTTACTGGTGAGTTGTGTAAATTTGGTAATTGGATTTTTTTTCTCTTGTTTGGTGTCCCTGATGCAATTGTTATCAGCTGTTGTAATCCTCATGTGTTACTTTGTTGCAGACTATTTCTTGCTATCCATTGAAGTATTTCCCTCTCTTACATGACATTTTAATCTTTCTGACCCAGTTTTTATGAATTTGTTACAAAGCCTGTTACATTCTATTAAATTGGCAATTGCTTATATATATTGGAATATAAGAGTGGCCAATTCAAGTACCCTCACCTATCAATTTTGTTCCCTTTTTGCTTTTCAGAGCATCAGCCAAAAACGTCAGCAGATTGGTCAACGTTGCAGTGCCTGTGGTTACACTGGCATGGTGGATATGACACACAAGCTTACCACTTACATACTGAAGAACCCACCTGAGCCTGTAAGTGACTGTTCATTTCCTGACTGTATTGCAGACCATGAACTGTTTTCACACACACTGACCTCAGACTGAAAGTTCAATTTGATGCATTTTATTTATTTATTTATTTATTTTTTACAGATTTAACCTTGATTATATTTAAATGGTATATATATATATATATATATATATATATATATATATGTATATATATATATATATTTTTTTTTTTTTTTTTTTTTTAGACTGTACCTGGTGAAATGATTTTAAAAGTAATGTTCTGTAATTGATTTTTTTCTTTCAAGGAACCAAGCACTGGACTGACACCAATTAAGAAAGAGAAGCGTAGCAAGAAGGGTAGGTCCAAGGATGAGAAGGAGATGAACGGAGGTGATGGAGAGAACGCCCCCTCCAGTCCTGAGATCAAAGAACTCAATGCCCAGGAGCAGAGTGCTGCAATCCGGTCTGGGGAAGCCAACTTTGATCAATCACAACCAGAGGTAAGGGAATTGTCATTGTATGCTGGTACTTGCAAGTTAGTTACAAGACATCTTGTTTCAATTCAGAATTTTGACAAACTTTACCTTTTTTGTTGCCTTTCTTTGAAAAGTGATTGAAATTTTGTACTCATTTGTAGACTGATGGCGGGGATGATGCTGATTGGGGTGAAGATGTCAGTGAAGAGGCTGTGAAGAAGAGGATGGAAGAACTGTCTACTGCTGCACAAACCCTGGCACTTACTGAGGACTTGGAGAAAACGCCAAAGGAGAGAGCAGACCTGTTCTATTCCTTTGTGAAGGTACAAAGCAGATGAGTGCACTTACATGAGTGATTTCTAACTGATATGAAAATATTTTATTATCAGAATGTTTAGATATTTTTTTCTAATAATTTTCATATTGTACACCAGTTTGCTAAAAATTGATTGATTGTTATTGTTTACAATATTGTAGAATTATTATTATTATTAACAATTTGTATTTATTTTAGAACAAAAAGGAGTCTGGCAATCTTATCGGCTCTGACAAGGAAATATTAGCAGAAGCAGAGAAACTAGAAGTCAAAGACAAGGCACCACTCATTTTGTGTGAGGTCCTGCTGTCGGAAAATATTGTTAAAGAGTTGAAAGATTACCGTCTAATTTTCCTGAGGGTAAGGATTTTTCTTAAGATAATTGAACTTCTGATAATTATGTTAAGGTCTCACAGATAATCTTTTTTGTTATGAGTTTGTAAAATTTTGAATTAATGGGTAATTAAAAAGAAAGGGTTAAATGAAAATAATAATTTAACTTGGTTAGATGAAATAAAAATATGAAAAGTAGAATCTTCTTTTTTCAGTGTTGCACAGAAAACATTCCTACATGACTGAATAGACTTATACAACAGGAGCAGCCAGCTAGTTCCTTGAAATAATGTTCAACTCAATTTACGTTAATGGACAATTCTACCTTTCAGATCACTAACCAGAACCCCAAGGCCCAGAGGTACATGCTAGGTGGCGTGGAGCAGTTGATTGGTAATGTGTACAGAGATCAGTTGATGCCCAAAGTTTGTGGTATTCTGAAGGCACTCTATGATCTAGACATTGTGGATGAAGAGGTCATTCAGGAATGGGGAAACAAGGTAGAGATTTATTTCATGGAAGAAAAAGGTTTTATAAGATATGTGATAATACACGGAAATGTTTTGTAGTTTTATGAAATCACAATGTTGAATTAATTTGATTGCTCAGAAACAACAAATGTGCAAATATTTTTGATGTTGTTAATCTGAGTTGATTAGGTTTCATTAAATCATTCAAGTAAATGTGTGGATGGTTGTGCATGATTTGCAACTTTTCTTTGTTTGTTACTTAAGGCTTATGGTGACTTTTATTAAGGTTCTCGAATTTTTTTACTTATCTTTATAGGTGTCTAAGAAATATGTTTCTAAGGCAGTAGCCCAGGATATCCACAATGCTGCAACCCCATTCCTAAAGTGGCTGAAGGAAGCTGAGGAGGAGGAGAGTGATGAGGAGGAAGAGGAAGAAGAAGACCTAGAAGTAAATACATGTTCTTTATGTAGTAATTTTTGGGGTGTTTGAAAAAAATTACTTGTTTTTCAGTGTACAACATACAGGGTTTTTGTAACATACAAGTTCTGTAAAAATGGAGATATCTCTTTTATGGAGATATTTTTGAAATCAGTGCCGGTAACATCTTGCTTTATTCAAATTATACCATTTTGGTTTCTAACATGTTAATATGCATGTTTTTTAGATCGAGTATTCCAACAAGGCCCCGGCTGGTCAACTGAAGACTGAGACCCAAGTTTCGAAGGAGGAAGAAGAGGAGGATGATGATCTGGATATTGATGCCATTTAGAGATTTGGCTTATGACTCATAATTTGGTGAATTAGCCTCCAGAACTTTTCCTAGTGCCTATGTATTATGTTACATAAACATGCCTTTCAGATTAGTATGTATTTTAAGGAAAAGCTGGGTTGTACTGATCATTTCAGTAATGACAGATTTAACTTTCTTTAATTTTAAGTGCAAATGCATTATTACATAGCTTGAATGACTAAATCTTGCTTCATATACATGAATTTAGATGGTGATTATATTTGACATTTCCTATGATGGGTGTATTAATAAAGTATTCAATAACATGTCTTAGTGGTGCAGTTTTTTTTGGGGGGGGGGGGGGGGGATAAAAACAGTTAGCACTTATAGAGAGGTTTTCAGTCTGCAAAGGCATTTCAACATCAATTTTGATAAGATGAGAACTTGTATCAGCAACCAGACTGAAATGATGGCAAGTGTTTAAATGAAAAGTACTAAAACCACCCCATCCACATATACCAGACATGGAAAAGAAAACCATACTTGAGAAGAGTGAAAATTCTTTTAGACACCACATACATGCTGCTGATTTTTCTTTTTTATAAGAATTTGGAAAACCTGCCATATATCTTGCACAGATGCTATTGAATCTGTTTCTTTGATTTTTTAAATTCATTATTTTTGATTTTGGTAAATATTGTTACAAACTTTTTTGGAGCTGGATATTCACCAGCTTTACTGTCTAGTTGATATGTTTTAGGTAACAGCTTCATGTTGTGCTCTCTACTGAGCTCTTTCTCCGTTTACTCCATGCATGTCACCACACTCCTCTATAGTTCAATGCTTCTTTCATACCACCTGGGTACAGCTAAATAGGCATCAAATTTAACATTGGCACATGTTCGAGTTTGACTTTTGTCTTGTCTTTGATGATGAGAACTTTGAAAAGCCGCCCAGTTGTAAAATAGACTTGCCTGCTCAAACAAGCTTGCTGGCTTGACACTAAATCGGAACTAAATTGAAAATTCCAGAATTCCACAATTCTTTGGAAAAACTTGTGCCTGATATGTGAATGAAAAGTTATTTGGTCAACATAAATAGTACTGAAACTGTCCCTCTTAAACACAGTTGTTTTAATTTCATACATTAATGACACATGCACTTATCACACTTGTACAAAATTACTTCTCACTCTTATTCACAAGTTAACATAATCATTTTTATAAATTATAGTAAAATTAAGGTTCATTACAAAAACAAAACCCATTTTCAAATTTCAATATTTAAAAGAAATTCACTGGCTTATTAAACAATTAACCCAATGGTTCTTAGAATGCAGAACATACATTTTTGTCACAATATTTCAGAAGGTGGCATGGAATGTTACTATGCACACATTGCCCTCTCCAGTTTGATTAACATGTTATAAAAATGACTTTCTGACATGAAAGACTGGCATCAAAGTGTCATTTCAATGTTATCACATTTCCACTTATTCATAACTTTGGCAATAACTGTTCAAAGTTTTTCATTGCGTGGTGCATTCTGAGGGTTGTTCATCAGCTTTAACATCGTTTTTATCCCAGTCTACTCCACCTGCCAGCCAGTTATAGTTCTCACTGCTTTTCTGATCTGGAAAAGATCCTGTTGTCACCGGAGCAGGTCTTGCTGGGCTGGCACGAGGACTGTTGGTGACACCTGAAATGGTATGAAATACAATGCACTGATCATCAAAATGGATGAAAGGAAATAGTGATTAGCCACTTGTGATCCAATTTGGTTGATGATTACATGGTAGTAAATATCAAATAAATGATTTCTCAATTCACTATAGTAATATGTATTATACACAGGCCATTGCAAATGTGTAAAAAAAAAACAACTTACCATCATATATGTCATTTGTTTTCATAAAATGTTTCATTATAAGCAGCTTTCATTTATTTATCCCTTACATAAGACTCTAGCAGTAACAATTCCTCTTACCTTTAAGAGGTGCCTTCGGAGCTTCGTCTAATGCTGGTGCTATCCCCGTCTTTCCCTTGTAATAGGATAGTTCTCTTTTTAGCAATTCTATCTTTTTCCTGTAAGGATCGAGGGATATGTTTTTAAAACAAAATTCAAGATCTGCATGTGTTTAGTTCAATGTCTCAGAAAAAAAGGGGATTAAAGCTAATTTACACCGGTTTGAAAACAAAAATGGTAAAAGGCAACTAGAACTATCTTAGACAAATGTATGTAGCAATTATTGCTTTCTTTTCGTCTAGTACATGCAATATTTCAAGTCTATAAAAAATCAAAGAATATGTTAAATAAATGATACAAAAGAAAATGTCAGTTTAAGATGAAAGAAAAAAACCTTAAAAACAATAACAGATGCAGCTACACAGCTAAAACAAAATGGATACTTACTGCAACAATAAAAACTACATTGTTTACATGCAAATAGAAATAATTTACAACTTACACATCTGTCAGACACCTCCCGACATTTTCAAAAAACAAACTGACATGCCACTCACTTAAATTCAGACTTGTACAGGGTCAACTCCTTGACTTGACCCTCCAGTCCTGTCACTTGCTCCTTGAGCCTCTTGTTTTCAGTTTCAACAGTGAAGTACGCCACTCGACTGATGATGCCACTGCTGCTGCCAGACGAGCGCTGTGCACAGGTCTGGCTACCAAACTGGCTGACTGGAAATAAGATGAGAGCAGTGCTTGGTAAAATGTGGCTACTCTGAGAGGCATTGAAAAATGAAAATATGATAAATGTATGTTGCAGTAGATAAGATGCAACAGGGCTGCACCCGAGATATTTTAATAATGTTACATTTGCTAAATAGAATCATTTGTGACAAATGTGATTTGTTAAGAAGTGTGATATTAACATGCCAACTCATTGTGATCATAAGGAATCCAAATTTCAAACCTTTATTTTTAATTATGGACATTAATGCATTTAAATAAAATGACAGGGATTAACAGATTTTCTTGGAGAGGTAAGTCCACCATACCCGTCACTTCAGCTTGTTCCTCACGTGCCTTACGCAGTTCATTTCTATATTCTGAGACTTTGTTTTGAAGATAATCATTATCATCCTTCAAAGATTTCAGTTTTTTCTTTAGAGGGTCAATCTCCATCAATAGGTCCCTCTTCAGCTGAACAATTTCCATATTTTTGGCACCTAATTCTTGCTTCAGCTCTTCCAAACTCTTTTCCTCTGGTTTTTTCATTTTAATATTTTCTTCTAATTGGAGGAGTTTTTGTTTTGTCTTTTCATGCTCTTCTTTCTCTTGCTCCAGTTCAGCGTCTGCCTCCATGCAGCACTGCTGAAGGTGGCGAATCTCCTCCTGCTGACTGGTGTGATCTCGCGCTTCTTGTAACAACTGAGAAAAATAATGAGAATTACTTTCATGTAATCACAGAACTTCACAAAAAAATTAATGACCTTCCAATCAAAGAAAACAATATCATATAAATCTTTGAAATTGTAATCAGAATGATGAACCCTTTTCACTTTTTAAAATTCTATCATAAATAAATATAATATGCTCTCATTAGAGGAAAAAAAATAGAAAAAGAGAGCAGGAATATTATTTTCATTATCTCTGTGGACATAAAATATCCTTAAGATAAAAAGAAAGATTTTAAAAGAAACAAATTTTGCATAAAATCAATTCTTGACCAAATGTATACTGCCCCTAAAGTTTCAAACTCTGCTTCAATAAAAACCAACCTTTATGTGCTCCAGACCTTCCTGCAGGGCTTTTTCTAGACTTTGAATCTTTTTCTTGGCTGCAGCAAGAGCTTTGTCTCTTCCCTTGGGCTTGTCCCCATCTTCAGATGCATCTCCTTCCTCATTCTGCCCAGCCTGTATTACTTCCAATTTTCTTTTGGTTTCTTCGTGTTCTATCTTTTCTTGCTTAAGTTCATTGTCAGCCTCATCACAGCACTTCTCCATGTGGCGGATCTGCTCCAGGAAGTTATTTGTGGTGTCCTAAAATATACACAACAGGGGAGTAAGTGGCATTCACAGAGGACCTCCTCTATTTGCAGGGGGACTGAAGACAATCTATTCAGTTGCAACGATTCTTTCAAACTCCTTAACGTCTAATTCCATATAAATGTCTGAGACTGTAAGATCCAGATTAATTTCTTTATACAACACAATCTTACAATTTTATGACACAAACACCCTTTCTTTACTGTAGAATCTGTACCGAGTACTTCAAAGCTGACAATTTATCTGGTGTAGTTTCTATTATGGTCACAGTCTGTACTGCTGGAGCATGTGGGATTTTTACATAATTAATATTTAGTAGTTAAGTCGTGCTACAATATAGTTTTCTAAAACTGGGACACATCATACAGTCTAGTTACATCAAATTACTTCCTAGGCCATTCACAGGCTGTCCCTATGAACCACCCATCATTTCCCCCCAAAAAAAATTGCAAGCCATCCAGCCGTCTTCTAAGGCCGCAGAGTGTTCAAATTATGGCTGGACTGCTCGCTTTGTCTTAACATAAATTAGTGCATCTCACCTGCATTTTCTGATTTAGTTTCTCGATTTCAGTGTTTAGGTCAGCTACCTGCTTTTCATACCCGGATCTCTCTTCCTCTTGCTTTGTAGAAGTCTGCAATGCAAGAAGAAATGCTTGTGTTCTACCTGCTGAAGTTTGTGTCTCCAAAGATGCTGCATAGAGTGTGGAGGATATTATTTCTAATACCAATCAACTGCAGAAAGACACATAAAAGTACATGACTGTTATATAGTAATATAACATTTCTACAGAATGGGGGTAGGATAAAGTTTTTACTGCTGGTGAGCATTGTTAGTTTTCAAAAACATGCTGTATGATTTTACTTGTTTCTCTTCCAACAAAGCTTTTGTCGCATCTAGTTCCTCACTAAGCTTTTCCAGTCGTGTTCTAGCTTCAGTAAGCTCAGAGTTCAGGGCATCAATATGCTGCATTCCTTTCTCCTAATACAAAAAAAAAAAAAAAAAAAAAAAAAAAACCCTCATTAATCAAAACACTGTTTGAAAATAAAACAAAGCATTGTCTGGTTTACACTAACAAAATTCCAATGCTAAGTTTGTAAATTGCTAACTTCACATTGAAAAAGCTGTATTAACAGAGGTTTATAAAAACATGCAATATAGATCCATGTCAAACTGTAGATTTTTTCCATTCAGACTCACCTTAGTATCCAAAAACTCATCTTCTTTATTTTGCATCTCCTCTTGAAGTTCAGCAAACACTTCTTTAATTTCTCGTAGCTCCTCAGATAGCAGTTCTCTTTCTGAAGACATCTGTTAAAAATATTGTCAACAATACATACAAAATAGGAACTTACTCAAAACAAAAGAAGAGGTCCTAAAGAGATTAGATACACTTTGATAACTAAATAACTTCATTTTCACCACTTCTCTTAGCGCTAAAGGCAAACAGTTAAAATAACTGATACTAAAAGGTTTTATTTTGTATAGATCTGCAGTATACTAGACTGCTTTTGGTTGAAAATGCCATACAAAATAACACTTTCCTTGAGTGTTGTTATATCAAATCCAGTGAACTTATATGGTCATATAATCTATATGAAAGTCCAAAACAATCAAACCTCTTTGTGGAACTATAAAATATATCTTTTCAACCAACTCATCAACAGAATAAATTGTACAAACTTGATCAATCTGTTTCTCTTTGTCACACAGCTGAGATCTAAGCTCGTCTACTAGACTGGTAGTTTGTCCTTCCAGATTAAGTACCTGAAAGAAAATGCTATTTTAGGATACCTGAACAGCATAAAAAAAACACAGAGACTTGTGAAACTATGAGGTAAACATTAAAGCAAACAAGTGGTTTTTAAAAGGGTCCATAACCTGAAATATTTTCATAAAACGAACATTTTTACAAAAATACATGCACAAATATACAGATAGAAACCAAAAAGTACAAACCTCATCCATCTCTTTTTGTTTCTCAGCTAGCTTAGCTTCAAGTTCTTCAACTGTACTCTGGAGGTTAGCAGTTTGTTCCTCTAAGACAAATACCTTTTTACAAAAATAATAATAATAATAATAATAAGTAATTACAATAATAATCTGATCATGCTGATTTCAGAAAGGAACTACTCTTTTTGTTCAACATGAACGTTTTTTTTTTCAGACCCAGAAATATGCACACAATAGAAAGAAATTTTAAAAAAATGCTTACTGTGCAAGTGTCATTGCAGCACCTCCCATGATTTTCTAACCTTAATAATTTAGTTGGCACTAGTATTCCCTAAACTAAACGCAAAAAAATTCAAAATGCACACCTAATGCACTATGTATTACCTCATCTGCCCTTTTTTCTTTCTCTGTAAGTTTAGCCTCCAGCTCATCAATGGTGTCTTGGAGGGCAGTGGTTTGTTCTTCAAGCCCATGAATCTGAGAAACAAAATATCCACATATTATCAACAAGAAGTATTCATTGGTAAGTAACAGATAGGCTGATGGAATGACCTAGATGTCGAAAGCAACATACCCCCACTTCTTTGAAAGGAACCCCAACACACAATGAAGCTGATAAAGATTTTTCTGAATGACATATAAGAAGGATTGTCATTTGGATGTTTGCTTAATACAGGATATATTTTGAAATCATGGCACACTGATGCCCGATACTATAAGGCACCTTTAACCTATCCCCTTACACTTCAAATACTAGCATTTAGGTATAACAAGATTTACCTGACTAGCTTTCTCCTCAAGTTGTATTTTTAGTGATTCCAAGGTAGTCTCTAGATTTTCTGCTCTGTTAGCTGCTGCAGCTTTTTCTTTCTCCATTGCCTGTAGCTGCTGTTGGGCATCTGACTGTTGCTGCATGACTCCTACTTGACCTTCTTTAGCCTGATATATATATATATAAAATGATAGATTCATACCGATTTTCAGTAAGAACCCAAATTTTTAACAAACAAAGCCACTCAGCAAATTGTAAGTAAAACAAAAAACATAGTTTGGCACTTAAGGGTAAACTTAGCTAAATAAAATGCAAAATAAAACATGCACACAAACAAAATCAAAAACTTTTGCAAAAATAATCTAATCGTGCTTATTTTTGAAGGGAATATTTTTTTAGTCCAAATAAAGTTGCTTGACAACAACATGAACAGGCACAGAGATCAGAATAAATACAGACTGAAAAATATGTCTGCATATAAAAATAAAATTTACCTCATCCAATTCTTGTTGTTTCTCACACATCTGTGCCTCAAGCAGATCCACTGTCTCCCGTTTCTCTGACAACTGGCTTCTTAACTTATCCACAACAGATTGGAAGTTGACCTCTCTGTCCTTGGCAGAATTTACAGTTTTCTGCAATTCTTCAAGCTGTGCAGTCAAATCTGAATTCTCGTCTACCTTTGAAATGAGGTCTTCTTGGAGCTGAAAGTAAAACATTCTATTCAAAGCTTCTCCAACTTAGTTTCCATATAGCATGTCATGTTAAAATTGTTAATACCAATCATGATCAGAAACTACAAATTTGTATGAACAGAAGTCTTGTTAATTTTGAACTGCTAACCAAACTTCCATAAATTGCTCCACATGTTATCATATTTTGTGAAATGATGTAATAGAAAATATATAGATCATATATACCTTTGTTATTTCTTCTTGCAGTTCTGCTACAGTCAACTTTGATTTCTCCAGACTGTCCAAAAGATTTGTTTTCTGCTCCTCAAGTTGATTTACCTGGAAAGAATAAGAAGTAGTTAAACTGGGTTTTACGAAAACAGGCACAATTTGGAATTTTCACTTAATTTTAATTAAACAAAACAATTGTTTGACACCAGCCATATAAGTCGATGCTTTCTCACAATGACATAAAAGCAAATTTCAGTAAAGTAAAGAAATGTTTCTATTTAGTCAGAAGTTTTTTTAACAACACATACAGTCTGTGTATAATTATACAATTATTTACAAATGTAGCGTATGCACATTAAAATATAATTTACCTCATCTAATTCTTGTTGTTTCTCACACATCTGTGACTCAAGCAGATCCACTGTCTCCTGTTTCTCTGACAACTGGTTTCTTAACTTATCCACAACAGATTGGAAGTTGACCTCCTTGTCCTTGTCAGAATTTACAGTTCTCTGCAATTCTTCAAGCTGTGCAGTCAAATCTGAATTCTCGTCTACCTTTGAAATGAGGTCTTCTTTGAGCTGAAAGAAAACACATGATTCAAAGCTTCTCAAACTTAGTTTCCATATAGCATGTCATGTTAAAATTCTTACTACCATTCATGATAAGAAACTACAAATTTGTATGAACAAAAGTCTTGTGTTAATTTTGATAAACTGTTCAACATATTATCATATTTTGTGATATTTTATAATAGAAAATACAGTAACATAGATCATAAAATGAAAAAAAAAAATATACCTTTATTATTTCTTCTTGCAGTTCTGCTACAGTCAACTTTGATTTCTCCAGACTGTCCAAAAGATTTGTTTTCTGCTCCTCAAGTTGATTTACCTGGAAAGAATAAAATAAGAAGTTAAACTGGGTTTAGGTTAACAGGCACAATTTGGAGTTTTTCACCTAATTTAAATTAAAGTTAAAACAATTGGTTTCTAACAATGACATTAAAGCAAATTTCAGAAAAGTAAAGAAATCTTTCTATTGAATTGGAAGTTTTTTCTATCAACACATACAGTCTGTATATTAATATATAGTTTACCTCATCTAATTCTTGTTGTTTCTCACACATCTGTGACTCAAGCAGATCCACTGTCTCCTGTTTCTCTGACAACTGGTTTTTTAACTTATCCACAACAGATTGGAAGTTGACCTCTCTGTCCTTGGCAGAATTTATGGTTTTCTGTAATTCTTCAAGCTGTGTAGTCAAATCTGAATTCTCATCTACCTTTGAAGTGAGGTCTTCTTTGAGCTGAAAGTAAAACATTCTATTCAAAGCTTCTCCAACTTAGTTTCCATATAGCATGTCATGTTAAAATTGTTAATACCAATCATGATCAGAAACTACAAATTTGTATGAACAGAAGTCTTGTGTTAATTTTGAACTATAACCAATTCCATGAACTGCTCCACATATTATCATATTTTGTGAAATGTTATAACAGAAAATACATAGATCATAAAATGAAAAAATATATATATACCTTTGTTATTTCTTCTTGCAGTTCTGCTACTGTCAACTTTAATTTCTCCAGACTGTCCAATAGATTTGTTTTCTGTTCCTCATGATGATTTACCTAAAAAAAGTAGTAGTTAAACTTGGGTTTAGGTAACAGGCACAATTTGGAATTTTCACCTATTTAAATTAAAACGATTGTTTGACACTAGCCATATATGCTATTGCTTTCTCACAATGACATACATGCAAATTTAAATAAAGTTATGTTTCTATTGAGTTTGAGGTTGAAGTTTTTTCTATCAACAAATACAGTCTGTACATAAATATATAAATTTACCTGATCTAATTCTTGTTGTTTCTCACACATCTGTGACTCAAGCAGATCCACTGTCTCCTGTTTCTCTGACAACTGGTTTCTTAACTTATCCACAACAGATTGGAAGTTGACCTCTCTGTCCTTGGCAGAATTTACAGTTTTCTGAAATTCTTCAAGCTGTGCAGTCAAATCTGAATTCTCATCTACCTTTGAAGTGAGGTCTTCTTTGAGCTGAAAGTCAAAACTCAGTATTCAGTATTTTTCCAACTAGGTTTCCATATATTACATGTTAAAACTGTAACCATCATTTAGAAACTACAAATTTGTATGGTCAAAAGTCTGTGTTAATTATGAAATAACCTAACTTCCTCAATTAGCTAAACCAGGGCTTGACACTAACTTTTTTTTCTTCTGGCCCTTCGGGCCAGTGAGGCATGAAACTCACTGGCCCGACTCAGCTTTCCACTTGCCCAACATGACATCAGAAGTCGCAACTATTATTTGCTTACTATTCATTTATTACATGCAATTTAAGAATAAACTTTTGGAAACATTGTTTGATCCTTTTAAACACATAACCTATTTATAATCAAAAGGTTGTGTAAATGTATAAATTAAATTAGTTTTTAATCATTGTGGTTCAAGAGGAAATTAAACAGTTCATCTGCATCTCCTCGTGAATAACACAATACGCAGTGTTGAAAAGATATGTCAGTAACTGTTTGTTTTTTCTCCTATTTTTCTCACGATCCTGTCTAAGGGTCCTATACGGCCCCTCTGTGCACATGTCTTCACCCTCTCTGCATCAAGGTGTTGAGAAGACTCAAAGTGACATCTTATTGAATGCTTCCGGAAGTTTGTACACCCGGTTACAAACACGCTTGCTCTGCAACTGCTATGCTCCACGCACGTGGTGCATGTCATTCCGTTTTCTTAAGTCCAATTAATTCCGGGGAATTCTTTTATCCATTGCATTTGGAATTCACGTTTGCGTTTTTTTTTCATAACTGAGGCCTGTGGATAATTCGGTTGAAGTAACCCCACTTCTTTCCGGCACAGGCTCCAAGTTCGGGTCCGTTGAAACTTTAGGCCAAAAATTAGTCAATTTAGCTTGTGTCATGTTTGACAATAATGGCTTCCAGCTTGCGTGATCTCGTAGTGCGCGCGTGGTTAGTGACACACAAACTTTTAGCATTGTACTCAGCGAGGTCAAAAATCAAATAGCTGATTGGCTATAACGAGTCACATGCATTAAATTATGCAAAACGCGTCAGCTGCTCTTCTGTTCCTCACTGTCCCCCCCTCTCAAAATAGTTTTTGCAAATAACAGATTTGCGCCAATTGAAAGGGGGGGCGCAGCTATTTACGCAAAAGCAGGTCCGATCGCTAGCACTTGAGGACTTGGGATTTTACCAAGAAGCGAGGTATCGGCAAATATTACGCTTATTCGGCGTATTAAACCCCACTTGCCCTTCGGGCCAGTAACACGTGTGATTAACTGGCCCGTAACCGGTTTTCAATGGCCCCGGGCCAGCGGGCCAGCATTACTGTCGAGCCCTGTAAACATACAAATATTCTGTGTAGTGTTATGAAGGAATATGTAAATTATGAAATGGGATATATATATATATATATATATATATATATATATATATATATATATATATATATATATATATATATATATATATATATATACCTTTGTAATGTTTTCTTGCAATTCTGCTACAGTCAGCTTTGATTTTTCCAGACTGGCCAACAGACTTGTGTTCTGCTCCTCACGATGATTTACCTTGATGGAATAAGAAGTAGTTGAACTGGGTTTTAGGTTAACAGGCACATTTTGCAGTTTTTACCCAATTTAAATAAAACAATTGTATTATACTAGACATATATGCTATTGCTTTCTCAAAATGACATGCAGGCAAATTTCATAAGAGTAAAGAAATGTTTCTATTGAGTCATACATTTTGATATCAACACATGCAGTGTGCACTTTAAAATATAATTTACCTCGTCTAATTCTTGTTGTTTCTCACACATCTGTGACTCAAGCAGATCCACTGTCTCCTGTTTCTCTGACAACTGGTTTCTTAACTTATCCACAACAGATTGGAAGTTGACCTCCTTGTCCTTGGCAGAATTTACAGTTCTCTGCAATTCTTCAAGCTGTGCAGTCAAATCTGAATTCTCATCTACCTTTGAATTGAAATCTTCATTGAGCTGAAATTTAAAACCTAGTATTCAGTGCTTCTCCAAAAGTTTCCAGATAGTATGTTATGTTATGTTATGTTATGTTATGTTATGTTATGTTATGTTAGATTATAACTGTCATTATGTACATGGTGCTGCAATGGTCCCCAGAGTTCAGGTGGAAACTAGCTGTTAAGGCAAGGTGATACTGGAATGGAAACCAAATAAAGATGGTGGCCGTAGCAGTCCAATTTTCAAACAGGCATGCAAACATGCAGGCACGCATGGACAAGCGCAAAACATGATATCATTGTGAAATGCTAATCACACTTCCATAAACTGCAACACATAATCATATTCTGTGAAACGTTATTATAAAAAAATACATGAATCATAAAATGAGATATATACCTTTCTGATGTCTTCTTGCAATTCTGCTACAGTCGACTTTGATTTTTCCAGACTGGCCAACAGACTTGCTTTTTGCTCCTCCAGATGAATAACCTTAAAAGAATGATAAGTAGTTAAAGGTTTTTGGATAAGAGGCCCAGGTTTTTATCAAATTAAAAGCAATTGCAAGATACTAAGTATATTTTCTATTGCTTTTCACAATAGGCATAAAAGCCAATTTCAATTTCAATTGTTAAAAAAAGATATGTTTCTTGTGTGACAAAACATTTTTAATATCAAAATCATGTAACAATTAAATAAACAGCATAATCAACTCAACTTATTAAGTCCTATCAGCATTGCTAAAGCTTATATGACAAATATTTTTAAATATTTTGTATACCCACCCCAGTTGATTCTTTTCCTTTCTCTAACAAATCTCTCTGCAAATTTTCAATTTTAGCTTTCAGATTTGCGACATCTTCTTCAAGTTTTGGGACCTGTTGATTGAAAAAAAAAACACTTTTGTAATTAAAAACAAACCAAAATAACTCATTTAAATTATAATTTTAGTGTATTTCGTCTATTAGATATGCATTGACATCAAGTTGATGTCATACCATGTGTAGTTAAACAATGCCATTACTGATTCTCTTTCATTTATAGAATGTTAATATTAAATTGCTCAATTGGCAAAGATGGCAAAAGTGGCTGGAAGCTTGAGAGATACCTGTTTAACCTTTTCCCGTAGCTCTGCATTATTCCACCTCAAGTCAGAGAGTTCTGCAGCAGTAGCATTGAACTTTCTAAGCAGAAGGCTGCTCTGCTCCTTCTCCTGGCCCAATAGATGCTGGAACTCCCTGGCCTGCCTCATGTAGTCCCTATACTTCAATTCAAGATCTTCAGACTTTTTGAGGGCATCTGGAAAGTTTGTTTTTTTTTTTGAATTAACTCTCAACTTCAAAACACACAGAAAATTTTAATAAATCTGGCGTGTTGTTATTCCAGTTTATACTTTTAAAACAATGTTTGACAAATATAGTAGAACATTCACTTATAATTGTATTCTTTATCAAAAAATTATAAAAACATATCTACATATCTATTCTCCAATAAGCTTTAACCGTTTACCTTTCAAAGTCTTATTTTCTGTGTCAAATTTCTGTGACCTTTGATTGGTGAGATCAAGGTTGAATTCTAGCTGTTTGATTCTTTGCTGAAGCTTTGCAGGGTCTAGCTCCTGCCTTCTATTGAATTGTGCTGCATTGTGCTGTGCATGAAGTTCTTCTAGATCTCTCACTTGGATTTTAAGGCTCTGGAGTAGGAAAATGGCATAATGAAATTCTACTACTTTCATAAATTACACACAAATAAATGGCAGAGCTAACTGAATACTCCTTCCGTTATGTTAACAACCAATGGTAAACAGCTTCATCTGTCAAACTCTTTGATCTTTGATTATTATAAATATCAATTACTATAGCTGATTTATACCTGTGTTTCTTCTAAACACTTCTTAAGCTTATGGTTGACCACTTCACTCTCAGTGGTGCTTTTTTGTAGACTGCACTCAAGCTCATAGACCTATAAAAGGAGAGCAAAATAACACCACACAAAAAGATATCTCTTATGTCTAGAGAAATGTCTTGTACGGATGCAAAAAAAGCAGGTACTGATGAAGTAATATTGAATTTTTTTAAATTAAATATAAAGATTACATAATTTACAACATTTGTTGATATCAGTTTTTCAGTGTGTCCACCTTCAAGGTGATAATTTGATACCTTTTGGTTTAACTTGGTGATAAGCTCTTCATTTTCCTTCCTTGTCTGAGCTAGCACAGCAAGAGATTCTTTTCTGGCTTTGTCCATTTCTTCAATTCTACGCTGCTGAGCAAGGTTCCAATTCTCCTCTGAGAGCAGGCGCTCTTTGTTGACTGCTGGACTTCTGTCCTCTGCTCCTGCCTGCAATGCCTCACATTGCTCTTGCACTTGTTTAAGTTCAGAAGTCTTGACATCTACTTGATTTTTTAATTCTTCCATTTCTTTCTGGAACTATGTAAGATTGTCACCAAATAAATCTCAGATGCGTAGATTACGTTATCAGCTTTAAGTGAATGTTCCTACATGCACACTATAATAATGATTGATAAACAATAGAGAAGTGCACATACCATGTTGTCAGTGTCCTGGGATTTGGCCTTCAGAACATCATATTGCTCTTGCAGGGTTTGCAGTTCTGAATTATTGTGCTCTAAAATTGTCTCCAACTCCACAATTTTGATCTGTAACTTGTTCTGAAAAAACATGACATAGAAAACAGATAAGTTAAAAACCAAATTTACAACAAGAGAGTAATCAATCCATAGCTAAACAAGAAACTGCAAAAGAAAAATCTGCAAATTCACCCCATAACCCCTGTAAATGGAGAAACTAAATTCTGAGAAAAGATATATTCTTAAGTTACATACCATATCATCACTACTGCTGGTCTTCAAAGTCTCGTGTTGTTCATAAGCTTGCTGCAGTTCATTTTCTTTGGCTACCAACACCTGTTTAAGCTCCTCCATTTCATTTTGATAATTGCCAATGTCCTGAGAAAACAAAATATAAATGTCATTCCAAATGAAGGTCATGAAGCTACTGAAAACTAATATGATAAGGACAATATGAAAAACAATGCTTAGATGAGGAGTCTTACCGTGACCAAGAAAACTGAGCTTTAGGAGTATTAGAAAAATAAAAAAACTGATGTCACAGTTGGCAGAGAGTGTAGGCAGTGATGGTTTATTTCTTGAGGACCACTGTGATCATGCCAAGAGCGGTCTTTTAGCAGAAATTCAGGTAGGCAAAAATGAAAACTGATTTAATCCATTACTTGTGTGAGAAGACCTGGAAGTCTACAATATTTTTTTCTTTCAAATTTGCAAAATTTTCATCTGTTGTAACATTTTATGGAAATGGACATGGTGGGAGTCAATACAAGCTGTCAGTTGATTATTTAATGACTGCATACAATTATATGACCCTTTTTTTCTTGTCTTTTGCAAAAGGATGCAAAAACATATTGAAGGGATGTTGGTTTTTGAGCTAATAATATATTTCAGTCCCTTTAAAATCCATAAAGGTGCTTTCCACAAAATGTCTCCAAATTAATCTAAAATACATACATTATGTAAGAAATCTGATGTTTCTACTAATCTTAATGATTTATCAATAATAAAGAAGTGCCCATACCGTGTCTTCAACATCCTGGGATTTGGCCTTCAGAACATCATATTGCTCTTGCAGGGTTTGCAGTTCCGAATTATTGCTCTCTAAACATGCTTCCAACTCCTCAATTTTAATCTGCAACTTGTTCTGAAAAAAAATGACACAGAGTGGAAAACAGATAACTTAAAAAACCAAATCTGCAACAAGAAAGTAATCAATCCATAGCAGAACTAAAGAGTAAAAGAAAAATATACAAATATATCCCGTTCCCCCAGATTGATAAACTAAATTTTCAGAAAACATTTTTAAGTTTCATACCACATCATCATTGCTGCTGATCTTCAAAGTCTCATGTTGTTCATAAGCTTGCTGCAATTCTTTTTCTTTGGCCTCCAACTCACACTTAAACTCCTCTATTTTATTTTGATATTTGCCAATATCCTGTGAAAACAAAAAATATATGTCACTCCAAATGAAGTTAATGAAGCTACTTAAAACTATTCTAATAGGGAGAATATAAAGAAGATATTGAGAAGATAAAGAGCTTTTGAGCTTAAACAGCATGACAAAAAAGATACCAAACTGATGTCACAATCAAGAAATAATGTTGGCAGTGATGACTTATTTCTTCAGGACCGTTATGGTGATATTATAAGTGATCTTGCAAAAATCTAGGTAGGCTAAATAGTGCCCATACCACATTGTCATTGTCCTGGGATTCGGCCTTCAGAACATCATATTGCTCTTGCAGAGTTTGCAGTTCTGAATTATTGCTCTCTAAACATGCTTCCAACTCTTCAATTTTAATCTGCAGTCTGTCCTATTATAAGTTAAGAACAGACAAAGATTTATACAGCTAATAAATGTATAAAACGTTAAGTAGCAAGTATTAATCACATTGTTAAATACTTTCCACAACATATATGTAAAACTTTATTTAAATGGACATGTTTGTGGTAAAAGGTTTCAAATTCCTTAAAATTAAATGGTATATTATCCCACTCCCCCAGATCAACAGACTAAATTTTCAGAAAACATATTTTTAAGTTTCATACCACATCATCACTGCTGCTGATCTTCAAAGTCTCATGCTGTTCATAGGTTTTCTGTAGTTCATCTTCTTTGGCAACCAACAGCTGCTTTAGCTCTTTTATTTCATTTTCATATAATCCAATGTCCTGCAAAAACCAAAAATGAATGTCATCCCAAATGAAGTACAGTAATGAAGCAACCTAAAACTATTCTTTAGGGACAATATTAAGAATACATTGAGAAGATGAACAGCCTAAATGTGACCAAAGTAACTGTTTTTAAAATGTATAAGAAAAAATACACAAAACTGCTGTCACAGTCAAGAGAGAACGTTGGCAGTGGGGACCATTTTGGTGATGTTATAAGTGATCTTGCAGAAATCCAGGTAGGCAAAAAAAGGCCATTACCACATCATCAGTGTCCTGGGATTTGGTCTTCAGAACATCATGTTGCTCTTGCAGAGTTTGCAGTTCTGAATTATTGCGCTCTAAACATGCTTCCAACTCCCCAATTTTAAGCTGCAACTTGTCCTGTAATTAGTTAAGATAAGAGAAAGATTTATACAGTCAAAAAAATATAAAAGTTCAGTAGCAAGAATTTATTACCTTGTTAAATACTTTCTACAACATATATGTAAAACTTTTAAATGGTCATGTTTGTGGTAAAAGGTTTCAAATTCCTTAAATGGTATATCTGCTTCCTTGCCTTTATCAGTATTTTCATAGTGTTATCACTCTTGCTGTTCAATTTAAACCCCAATAGTTTAAAATTAGTTTTTAAAGGGTCTCACAAGAAAATTCCACAGGATCTTTACAGTTTGGATTCCTCTTGTAGTCTATTGGATCTTTTGTTTTGCTTACCTTAATGAGGTTATTAGTTTATTATCTACCTTTTTACATAATTCTTTATAATTCTTATTCTTTTTCCATTTTGTACCAAATTTTTGACTGAATAACGTAGCAGCTTTAAATTAAAATTTCTGTAACATTCAGAATAAAACTTGACACAGGGGAAAAAAGGAGAACTTTAAAACTTAATTTACAGGGGTTATCAATCCAAAGCTGAACCAAAGTGTAAAAGAAAAAATTGAAAATTTCACCCCTAACCTCGTAAATGGAGAGACTAATTTTGAGAAAACAATGTACTCTTAAGTTGCATACCGCATCATCACTGCTGCTGGTCTTCAAAGTCTCATGCTGTTCATAAGCTTGCTGCAGTTCATTTTCTTTGGCAACCAACAACTGTTTAAGCTCCTCTACTTCATTTTGATATTTGCCATCATCCTGTGAAAACCAAATACATCATTCCAAATGCAGTAAGGTACTGTAGCAACTTAAAACTATTCTAACAGGGACAATGTAAAGAAGACATTGACAAGATGAAGAACATAATTGCAACCAAGGACACTAAGCTTAAAGAGTATTTCAAAAATACACAAATATGATGTCACAGTCAAGGGATATTCTTGGCAGTGAAGACCCACATCCTGAGGACCATTTTGAAAATGTTAAGAGTGATCTTCTAGCAGAAAATCAGGTAGGCAAAATAGAAAACATTGACTAAACACTTAAGTTGTGTGACAGGACATAGAAGTCTTTCATTTTTTTCTCTAAAAATAGCAGAGGATTGTTCTTTGACCATAATTCATTTGCTGTGAACAATGATTTATGGAAATGAACATCAATTTAATGAGGGAAAGTATGACTTATTTGACTTGTGCCAAAGGTAGCAAAAGCACACTGATGTAATGATGTGTTTTGGGCTGATCATGTATTTCTGTCCCTTTAAAATCCATATCAACAATAAAGAAGTGTCCATACCATGTTGTCAGTGTCCTGAGATTTGGCCTTCAGAACATCATATTGCTCTTGCAGGGTTTGCAGTTCTGAATTATTGTGCTCTAAACTTGTCTCCAACTCCACAATTTTGATATGTAACTTGTCCTGTAATAAGTTTTTAAAAAATTATATTTATTCCAATAAATATATCAAATATTCGGTAGCTGGAATCGATTACCTTGTAAAATACTTTCTATAACATGTATAAGTTTGTTAAGTTGGAAAACTTTCCGGTAAAACATTTCAATCTTCCTTAAATGGTATATCTGCTGCCTTGCCTTTTTCAATATTTTCACAGTGTTGTCTCTCTAGGTTAGTTTATTGTTCAATTGAACACCCAATAGCTTATAATTATGGATTTGTTTTACAGCTTCCCACCAATTTTGATAACATCTATATTGTTTTGATTCATACTGTAGTCAACAATCATATCTTTTGTTTTACTAACATTGATGAGATAATTTGTATATTTCCCATCTAGTTACTGATATAACTTTTTATTTACTTCTTTGCAATTCATGTTTATTTTCATTTCATACCAGTTTTTTTTTACTGAATAACAATCTAGTTTTAAATCAGAATTTCAAAGAGCATATATGCAGACACTAAAATTTGAGAAAAAAAAATTCCTAAGTTTCATACCATATCATCACTGCTACTAATCTTCAAAGTCTCATGCTGTTCATAAGCTTGCTGTAGTTCATTTTCTTTGGCTACCAACTTCTGTTTAAGCTCCTCTATTTCATTTTTATACTTGCCATTGTCCTGTGAAAAGCAAATTTAAATGTCATTCCAAATGAAATATGGTAATGAAGCAACACTAGCTGTCCCAATAATAATAATAATAATAAAAGAATTTCTAGTGATAAACAGAGAGCTTGATGCAAAATCCCAAAAGCTGATACAAACTAGGGAAGACCTTCAAAAACTAAGAATTGATCTCTAGAGCAGTGTGATATCCGAAAGGGTCTGAGTACAAGCCATGGTTGACAGCAGTCTTCAACCAAGTCTTCAACCAAGTGAACTCTGATATATTCAGATTAACTCTTTGTCCAATGACCTAGCATTTTCTGTTTTTTTTTTTTTTTTGTTTTGTTTTTTTGTAAAGTCTGATAAGTGTTAAGTTTTGAAAATTCTTCAAAAATAAAATGTTTTAATATTGAGATACATCTTTAGTTAAATGAAAGAATATTATAAAGAGGCTATTTTTTGTACTGGGTCATGTTAGTTTTTATAAATTTTAAAGGTTGGTGTAATACAAAGCTATAATTTCTGTTCAATCGTATTTGATCACAATATATATTTATCAGAAGCACCAGTACAAATTTTGTGAATTAAGGGTCCTCTTACAAACAAAAGAAGTTGACCTTGAAAGACTGAGGGGGGAAAACAGTGTTAAACCTGAATATTGAAAAGGGTGATGCAGAAACATGAGAAATATTAGTCATATAAAGTAATCACGAATTAAGGCTAATACAATAATTTCTATCCAAATATCCTACCTCCAGTTCTTGACTGTTCAATTCGGTAACTTTCACCAACTGTTCGAGCTGCCTAATCTTGTGTTTTAACTGATCCTGTGAAAACAAAAATAGAGATCAGTGACATTTCAATTACTGCTTATTCTGCCATCATTATACAAACAAACTGCATGGACAGAGTGAGTCTGATCACAAATGTCTAGATGTATAATATAATTCTTTGAGTAAATAAAATAAGGCTGGATGTAATAGCTGCCTAACAGGAATTTTATAAATTACACCATATGACGCCATATTTATCTTACCACTTGCTCATGTTTAGGACTGGTAGAATTTTCTCTAATCTCTGCTTCCATCTTGGTAAACTCTTGCAATTCCCTCAACTCACTATCTTTGTCTCTCAAATCACCTCTCAGCTGTTTAATGGTATCTTCCAGCTCCATGTTGTGAGCTTCTCTACATAAAGAGAAAAAGAAAGAAAAATTATACCACACAAAACTTTACAACAACAAAGAAGACTAGAACATGGGAATGCATATGATTATTGTTTATTTAAGATTTTTTTTCAAAAGAAGGAGTAAAACTAAATACCTCATTTTGAAATAGTGTTGACCATTAAAATTTACAACTATTGAAAGGAAGATAATGTTATTTTTAAAAATCTACAACCATACTGTGCAAAACAACAAGGGTGCAGCAAACCTACAATGTGCACACAGCCTGGCTGATAGAGTCTAACTGTTCATCTTTACGTGCTTTTTCTGTCTGCAGCTGTTCACAAAGTGTCATCACTTCCTCCAACTGATCACGGAGAAAATCAGTCTATTTCAAATTAAAAGGCAACTCATTAGTTTCCTTTCAAAGCCATATAATGATAGCAACAATAATGATCAATAACAAATGGTCCACTAGGTACACAACTGAATGTATAGAGCATTATTTTTTTCAAATAAATCCAAGTCCTGTTACACAATAAGAACATAATTCAGCATATAGCCATGGCCATAAATTATTAAAAAATCAAAACAGAAGTTCTGATAGCAATTTGATAATAATACAAGAGAAAAGGGAAGAGCAGTTTCTTTCTCAACATAAATGTTGCAATATATTATAATCAAAGCCCATATCACAGAAATGAAAAACATTTGTAACAAATTTGGTTTAAGAACACATACCTGACAATCACAAGTTTTCCTTATTACTTCCTTTTCCTCGGTCACTTGCCTGTCATTTGGAAAGTCAACAAATGCTGAAATATAAGAGTAGACTTCTCCCACTCAGCTTCGACACATTAAGTAATTACAGAATTATAAAAACCATACATTTAATATATTCCCACTATACTTTCAAGAGTGCTTCATTACAGAACATTATACACACATCTTGCAACTGTACTTACAATTCTCCAATTCCTGTTTTTTCTTTTGCTCTGGTATCTCCATCAAAGGGGAGAAGGACGATAATGACATATTCCTCAGTGGAGACAAGCCTGAAAAGCTGCCAACTGATTTCCTGGAGGTCATCTTCCCAGGGCACCAGGTTTCTCTCCTCAACTTTCTCTAAACATGGTCATAAATAAATATGTTAACACGCGTTTCTTATATATACTAGTCAAAAGAAAATTAAGTTTTATTATGTCTTTGGTTTTATGAGTCTTCCTTATCCATTCTTCCCTCAGTGCAGCTCTAACTCTATGATGGTGGTAGACTGTGACTGGCAGTTATAAAGTCATATGCCCTGGTTATTACCAATGTAAGTGCAATAAAATTCCTAGCACTACAGTACTGATGTGAAAAGTTTAAGACTAATAAAATACATGTTGCTTGAATACCTTTTTTGGTGCGGTATCACCATCTGTTGTTCTGCTGGAAACACACACCATCTTCTGCAGTATATCTATCTTGTCCTGCTGTTCTTTTTGTAACTGTTCTTTCTCTTCCAGACGTCTCTGCAGTTCCTCATTCTCAAGCTGGACCTCCGTGTTGCCCATCTTGAAAATAACAACGGCATTAAGCTAAAGATAAATACCTGCTTTCATTCAAACATCACAGACTCATACACATTTGGTAGGTGCTTTTTTCATAAAAAATTAAAGATGGACAGCAAAAACACATTTCATATTAAGTTAGCAGCCTAAAATAGTTTAATGAACCAAATTTACCTCATGAGACTTAATTTTGGACAAAATATAAATATTCAAAAGTGGATAAGTTGACAATATATATTAACCACTTTCAATTTTTATGTTAATGAATATTCAAACTACTTTTTTCATACCATTTCTATTTTCTTTTTTAGATTATCCAATTCTGTCTTGTATCTTTTAAGTAGAGCCGCCTCCGACACAACTTCATTAACCTGTGGCTTATTCTTTATATTCTTAGCTCTGGAGGCAAACTGAAAAAGGAAGCAGCTTGGATAAACCAGTTAAAAACTGAAATTAACCAATCTTTTTTTTCTTTTTAAATCAGACTCTAAAGCAAGATATTTACCAGGTTTAACTGGCTTACCCTTAAAAGTCTTAATTTCATATCAGACAGTACTCATAAAACATTGAAGATTACTTATTATATACTATATACTGTCACTGATAATGTAAAGTTTATACAAGTTAACCCTGTAAGTCAGTATGGTGCCTTACCTTCAATGTGGAATGGGTCTCCTCCACAGAGGCTGGGGTCACAGTACAAATGATTGCAGTTTTGGAATTTCCACCCAGTGAATTTTGAAGAATTCTTGTCAGCTTAGAATCTCTAAAGCCAATAAAACTGGAAAAAAAATCATTATCAGCGAGTTATAGCCGTGTTGTTAGTGTGAAATACAGTTCAATCTTTATCTAGGGTATTTTCATTTACTGTACTAAGCAGACAAAGTATTTTATTTTCGTGGCAAAATAAAAGGTTGCAACTCCTTTAGGAGTTAAAGCACATAAATGCTCTTCCTCTCCACACTTCATATAACAAGTAAATGTTAAAAGGTTATAAAAATGAAATAATATAATATGAATGACACATACGATTTTCCTTCACTGAGATTATAGATAACTTGACTCAGTTGGAAAAGGCTTGAATTGATGGCACAGCCCTCCTGGAAGCGTACTCCAGTAGCCCCAGTCTGGCTGACCCTTTCTGAACCAGCCAAATCAACCAGATTCTGGAAAAAGCAGTGTGAAAAATGTCAACTCCTTTCATTATTAGAGTAAATTTGAGAAAATATTAAAAGTAATTTTTGCCAGACTAATATGCAATGTGTCTACCTTAAAAAGAGATCTTTCTCGTGTACTTCCTACGTCGTTTAGTGTAAAAAAATTGGCTTTCTACTTTAAACAAATCCCACTTTACTTTTTTTACAGAAAATGAATGGATATTCACCAAATGAGAAACCATTACAGCCCCATCAACAGATTTTCTTGAATCATCTTGTCTTTCACGACTCTCAATGATCTAAAAATAATCATCATAAAAAATTAATCTACTAATTTTTATTGATTTTCTTAATGATTAGTCCCTAAATGTTTACTTTTACCAAACCACATGGTTTTAATCTAAATCTGTACACATATTTTTTTATATTAATGTCATGAATGGTGATGACTCAGCTAACACAATTTGCTTAACTTAAAAATTTTGTTTGAAAATATTAATAATCATTTTTCAATCCTCAAGCTCTATAGTCTATTTTCTTATACTGATTGCCACTGATCTCACCATTCTAAAAATAGTGTGACTGCGTGAACTTCTTTCATTCATGTTGGTTTCTCCAATCTTTCTTCTGTCCGCTCCTTTCTTCATAAGCTGAAGTATCTGGTCTGCATTAGTGACCATCTCCTCTGTCAAGTTAGCTACATAAACCTGATTCTCCTACAAAAACAGCAAGAACTACATTACACTTCAAGACTGCAGACTTCTGCTTAGGAAAAAGGCACTAAAATACTATTAAAAATATTAGGGGACTCATATTTAATAGAAATTGACATCACTTGGCACAGCCATCCAGGACAGCAATAAGTTGACAATACAATTAACATAGTTAAGTATCTAAAGTACTTACAGTATCCTGATGGATCTTAAGTTTTTTCTTTTCATCACTCAAAAGGTCACAAAGCTGTTCATTGTAAATTTCCAAATAAGACACTCGGAGAAGATACTCTCTTTCTGGAGTCTGAAACATATCATCATGCCTCTGGTTACTGATTGTATGTGCATCACCCTTATTTGCTCTGCCTAAAACACACTTTAAATACTAACATATTGGTTAAAGTTGTAAAAACTGAAAATCCTGAAAATGTAGCTCGTAGTTTCTCACTGCATTTAGAGAATATGAACAAAAAATGATCAAAATGAAGACTGAAAATCCAAAATTTATGCATATTCCTGGTACTGTTCACCAATGCTGTTATCTCCAAGGGTTTACCCAAAACAATGAAATTTTGAAAAGATTGAAAAATTTTAGAAAACAGCTAATTTAAAAGTCAAAATACTTACACCCTCTATGCCCTCAAATATGGCATTCATTGCCAATGGAATAATTCCTTGATTGAGCTTGTCTCCCATCATTGTATGAGTTTTCCCAGATGATGTCTGACCATATGCAAAAATTGTCCCTGTAAAAAATGAGGATAGAAAAATCATCAAAGCAGCAACGTTTTCTACATTTTTATTGCCTCCAGATCTATTTTATTTTAAAAATGGGTTAAAATGAACAATGCATTTGCCATTAAGTTAACAATGATACTTAAAGCTATTTTATAGCAACCCAATAATTATATTGTAATTTTGTGACCAGTTCATAGCTGGAGAGAATAACTCACACATAAGCTTACCATTGAATCCCTTCATAGATTCTTCAACAATTCCCATAGCAACTTGGTCATAAATATCCATGTTTGTTTCATGCTGGTCAAATACATGATCTGCAAAACAATGTATGGTTCTAGTAATTATAGCAAATTTCTTTAGTGTAGTGAACATCTATTAAAATCAAATGCATATCCCTACTTCATAATAATTCATAAGTGTGTTACCTTAATGAAACATACCTGAGGCTGAGCCATATTATTTTAATTTTTTAATACAATACAGCAAAGTCAGTTTTTTTCATTAAACCTTACTTTTCTGAAAACTAATATCTATATCTGCCAAGTGCGCATTGTTACTTCCATAAAAACAATCTTATGACTACCTTTTACAAATTCCAATATTAAATTACTATTCTTTTCTGAATATTCATTCATTTTTAGCTTATATATTAAAATCGTGGTGTACCTACCAAACACATAACTTGTTCCGACTTGTTTTTCATTCTCAAGCTGAGTCACAGTATTGTCTCTCACCAACCAGCTAATCTTCTGGCCACTAGTCTGCTCTCTAGTACAGAAAAAGAAATAAATATGTATAAAGGTTAAAATCAATCAAATGAATAATGAGGTGCTGTAACAAGAATAACATGTAATCAAGAAGTATCTAGCTTGCCTGTCAAATAACTGGAGTTTTGACAAGAGTGAAAACAGTCATTTGCCAAATGATGCAAGAGATTTTATCCATATAAAATAGCCCACATTGCAAATAGTTTGTAAATGCACCAGACATGGGAGAAACTGGAGATACTGAAGTCCAGAGGACATGCACTACAAGAAATCTGCAGGTCATTACCATCTGTGCTGATCCGAACTAAGTATAGTATTTTATTTACGTTAGTCAATATTTGCATATGATTTATTTATTGTATTTTTACACAAGCGTTGCCAGTCCAGAGGACCTGGATTAACAAAAATCTTCCAGTCCTTTGGCTTTTTTGAGTCATGACTGGTTAGAACTGGCAGTTTCCCCATGACTGATATACTATACATCAAGTCACACAGACTAACCTTTGAATCAGTGGCCTGACTCTCACAGCAACATTAATGTTGTCCGACATGTCTGATTATGGTACCTGAAAGAATTTTCTTTTCAAATATAACAGTTCTAAGCTTTAAAAAAAGCTGTCCCAGAGTATCAAAGCTGAGTCTCTAATATCAGCTTAAATTAGCAAATGATGGGTAGCATGTACTATAAATAAAGTATGAAGTTAGTATTATAAAGGGCCAGAAGAATTCTAATACTAGTAAATAAGCCAAGCTTGCTCAAGGAGCACTGTGATCATGAAAGAACATTGCACAATTATTATTACAGATCACTAAATTAGCTTTTATATTAACAGCACCAATTAAGTGACAGCATCTTTCGTTTCACCACAAGGAATCTACTGTAAATGCATGTGTCTACTTGTGTGTATGTCTGTTTAGTCAACATGCCAATTACTAAATTACTAAGGCAAGTTTCTTAAATTCAGCTCTACTGTGTGTGTGTGTGTGTGTGTGTGTGTGTGTGTGTGTGTGTGTGTGTGTGTGTGTGTGATCAACACAGGTAGATTATTACTTTATAGATTTTATAGTGTGTGTGAGGTTGGGGTCCCTCTCGTCTTCAAGTGCATCATTCTGCTCGCGTTTACACTTTTGAATGCCTGGACGATAAACACCCACATTTCCCCTTTACTAAAAATGCAATCGACCTAATACAAAAATATAAGACATGATAAATTTACAAAGCAAAACGAAGTAAAATAACTACAACCAGCCACAGATTTTATCCCCCAAATACAACAGTAAAATTAACGAGCATCTGTCAGGGAGGTTTTACGAACAAGCACCTTACCTTCTGCAACAGGTACCACCACCAAACTTCTGAACTTTCACCAACCGGGTGACGATTTACAGGCAAAACTTTTCCCGATATGAGATATGTTTAAAATTCGCGAGTTTTAACAAACTGTCCAATGACACATGACGTTACATATCGTATGCAAAACGTTATATCTATTTTGATTGGTTGCTTAGAACTTCCGGTTTCATGCGAACAGGTACAACAACACACTGAACAATACAGGTAGATCATTCTTTAGTGAGTACTACGTAGTAACGACACAAGGTGCAGACGAGACATAATTATTACGGTATTGTACATGTATGTCACAAAAATGGTGGTAGCGTAGTGCAACTACACAATGTAGGTTGTTACTGTCTTATCCCATGGCTGGTAAATTAACGTAGTACACGAGAGCAAATACCAGTGTTACCTGTCCAATCGAATATTGTTCGAAGCGTCATTATTGGGATACTTGAGTTTTCACTGTGTTTTCACTGTGGTTTTATGGTAGTAACTATTCCTTTACAGACAGGTTTAATAAATACAATACAAGTGGATTGTATTAAATTTTATTTATTATTATTACATGTATATACGTGTAACCGCGCTAGTGCTACAACTTATAGTGCTTCGAGTGGTTAACAATTTTAAGAACAAAAATCCGAAAAACTGCTGTAATATTTACACGGTTTCGCTGAGTCAATTTTTGAGACCACTTTAACGAAGAACTCGATACTGATCATCATTTGTATGTACCTAAGAGAAATAAAAGGATATCCATATCGATTGGTAAATTTGTTTCTGGGATATGCTATCATGCGTCCTTTTTTTCATCCAAGTAAATAAGAGATGGGCTTACAATGGCGCACTCCCCCGCCTTCCCTCTCCAAATCAATAACATCATGTACTAGTAGGCCTATGGTTGCATTGTCTTTTTGCCTTACGTTGCCTTTTATGTACCAACTTTGCGAAATTACAAGTGTTCTTTTTTGTGCTCAGTATAGGCCTACCAGGGCGGATCCAGGATTATTTGAAGGTGGGTCCACTAATGCGAAGCCGACCCTCCCCTCCCGGCACGGGGTTTGGGGCCTGCTTAAGGGCCTTGAAAATTTTTGGCATTTTAGAAGGCGAACGGTGCCATTTGGTTCGGTTTAGAATTATGATTCAGCTATTCAAAATTCTAATTTCAAGAAGGGACCATTGGTGTGATTATTTTAAGAAATCAAAGAGGGGGGGAGGGTCAGCACAACCGAAATCTGCCACTGGTATACAATATATAGTACCTGTGTAGGCCTACTCTATGCTCAGTATGCAGGCACTTTAAGAAGGCCAACCCGGTTCTGGAGTGTTCGGAACTTGCTGAATTTTTGAAGATATGTGAAAATCTGTGTTCATGGTCTATCTATAGATTCCTCTGTATAAGCTTGAATACTTCATACGTTTTATGCCTGCCTGTATATATATTTTGTACCAGGGCCTACTGAATTCTAGCGTATCGTAACGGGAAAGGGCATTACAATAGCTCAGTATTAAGTCCTATCGTTTACTTCTTAGCTATGAAGGATTGCTTTTCAACGGTGTTTACAAGAAACTGAAAATACAAAAAATGCAAAAATGTTGTAAAAGATGTTATTGATGGCTAATTAGTGTAGGCGATATTGCAGTGTGTTTCGATATTGTTCTATAAGATCTTTTATCTGATTCGTTTATTAAATCTATTAGATCTATGATTTAAAAAAATTGAAAAAATAACTTTCGACTCCACCATCCGACTAACTAGGGTGAGAAAAAAAATAAACATTTCCCCCAGTTTGTTCAGGCACTAACCGCACTATCTGCGTTAGGGAGGGTATCGGGAGTTCCGATGAGGCAGAGCCATTTGCATGGCGGTTTTTATTTTATTTATTTATTTATTTATTTATTTATTTATTTATTTATTTATTTATTTTTCAGAGAAAACCTGCTACAAAACTCTCAATATTACATCTTTGTGGTTTATTGAAAAAGAATAAGTTTCAATGTACAAATTGTGACATTTATTGTGCCACGTGTTTCGACCAGCTGTACACAACACTGAGTTTACGTTTGGTCTCTACACTTTATTAGAACATATGTATATACACAAATTTATTGCATAAAAAGTTATTTAACGAAGCATACTAGTATACATGTAACCGCTCTAGCTTTATTCTTCTATAATTATTTTTCACATGGTTCTCGGGTACGACTATGACATATTTGACACGCAAACTATTTTGTGGTAAGCCTTCAGGAATCCATTCCAAATAAAAAGCTTATGTAATACTCAACTTCAAACATGTGATATGCGGGTATAACAACACTTTAATAACAGCACTATATGGACTTCACTTGACGTGACTCCGACACATATAGAATATCTGAAGTTACATAATCTATAATATTTGAGCAATGCAGGTAGCGGTGGAGTTGCAAATTATGGGAGGCTTGGTAGTCCGCTGTCACTTTTACGGGCATGAAGAATGACAAGAATGCCACTGACTATCTCTAGAACAATCATTAGCATTGTTAAGATGATGGACCACGATATCATAATATCTTTGTCCACTGCGTGCACGGCAAATACGATGTCCCCGATCAGGACGAAGAGTGCTGAAATTAAAAAAAAAAAAAAAGACGGATTCAATAAAAATAGGCGAAAGACAATCGAGGATTTACATGATGTAGGGCATCATGAGTGTCAATTTTTGTGGCTATTGCTAGCAGTTTACAGAGTTTACAACTGACTAAATCGTAAAACTGGACAGCTATAATTTAAAAATGCACCAGTATTGTAGATGCCTGCGATAAGTACAGGAGCTGCGTTGTTCCACAGTACGTGTATAGATCTGTTATGACGAAAAGACGGGTTGTTAAGTTCACTCTTAAAACGTACTTATTCAACCAAGTGCAGAAAATCTCAGAGATGAAATTAGAGGGAAAGGATACATGTAGACAAATGTGTTTATATACATGTGGGTTTGGAATGTATAAGGTCTTGCTGAAACCATAGTTTACATTTGACTAAAAAAACTTACTAAACCTTGAACAGTGAATTGTTACGTTCGACACCAAGTATCACGTTGTATTTGATTTTGAAAAATAAACAATTTCCATGGCATTTTAATTTCGATTTGTTAAGTTAATTCCAACTTTAAACGTAAACTGTGATCCAACACATTGACCCATAAGATAAATCATATTTTACCCGCAGCCAAATGGAGAGCGCCTTGTGCGAATGGGACGGCTGGTTTATCAAATCGTGATACACACACATAGAGAGCTGCAAGGACCACAGTGATTATGGCACATAATAACCCTAAACATGCCATGGCACGAGATGCATCAAGCCAATCTAAAACAAACAGTTTCGAATTAAATCAATTATCAATGGGAATATCAACAGATACAAGGAGACATAATGTTACGTTCATGTGATCATAAGCCACAGATAATTAAATCTCAAATTTTCACGGTACTCGTAAATATAGAGGATTTTATTAATTTACATGACATATTAGAAATAAACAAATCACCTGGCCTCATGGCCCTGCGAGTCATCATATTTTGTCCAGTTCTCAAAACCGTAAAATTAAAACAATAACTTATGAATACAACGACTCAATTAGATACACACTAAATATAAATGCATGTATGTTCTTCGTGGAAAGGAGTAGTGGCACTGTCTTTATCTACAAAGCATTAACGTTTTGCAGTCAGAAATCTAATACAGATAATAAAATTCATCATTCATAAAGCTCTCACACTCTCAATACCAACCTTCGTTGGAAGGGGCGAAGCAATTCCCCGCCAGACATTTTTCCCAGAGACCAGAATTAACCTCAATGTCGACAACCACCTTGTAACTCCCTGCCACCCAGTATGGCGTGGCAAAACCGATCACAAATAAAAGCAGCGCGATCGGAGACGTTATCAGGGATGCCTTGTACTCCTTGGATAGCCTCAAAAAATGAATTAACAGACGTGCTTTGAAACCAACGCCAGGCATTTTGAGAAAGTGTGAAAGTGTGTCACCGCCCTGGTCTCTCCGACAATTACACCACTGGCGCTCCTTTCTATATATATATATCAGTTAGATGGACCTGATTACAGAACCGTGGGCAGGTCTTCCTCAGGGCAGGCTGTGTGTGAGATCAAATGTTGATATGAAGTCGGCTAATTATGCATTCCGATATCGTCACGCATGGGATAGGGCCTTGACAGTTCGGACGCGTCAGTTGACCATATTAGTTAGTGTGACCAATGAGTTTGACAAGCATGGTGTGTCATTTGTCGCAAATCTTTCTTGCCAAAAACTGTAAGTTTGATTTTGGTATGGCCCAAAGGACAGGTTGATTTCTGTTAAAGTTGATATACGCTCGGCTTATCGAGAACAGACTGGTGAGTCATGTTACCTTTAATGATAAGTCGCATTTTTGCGTTGTGTTTGTTAAACACACGTGTTTTAAAACTTTACGATGACGGTCGGATTTGATCTCAAAAATTTCAGTGTCTTCTTCCTTTCCTCCTCCTCCTCCCCCCCCCCCTTTTTTTTTTTTTTTTTTTGAAAATTTTAAAAATATAATAGCTCCTTTAACTTATGTTGTTTGTTGCACATCCCTTTCCCTTTTTCAAAAATACCAAAAAATAGAAACCTTTTTTCGTACTGTACATTTGATTCGCTAGCGTGCCCAACATATCAAGAAAGTGGGGGAGCACTCTGTTTCTTACATCAATATTCATTTATTTTTTCTATACAAAAAGTAAAATCATGTAACATTACACTGACATTGCCCTTTTGCCCACATGGGTCTAAATTGTTGACCAAAATAAAAACGGATCTCTGGGCTCAGAAGGGGAGAGCGGCCTCGGCAGGTCACAATTTCGCTGGTTACAATTTAAATGTCCACAGAATTAGCCAGGGAAATGTCTGTGAAAATTTAGTGAAAAATTCTGTCTGTGGTCCCGGTAGAAGGTGAGGTACAGGGGCGATTCCGTCACATCTGATAGCCGTATTAAACAAAGTCGAATTGAATAAGCGAGCTGCGCAATTCTCTTTCAAATTTCCTTGTCCTTTGAAAAATGGTTCTCAATTTTTCGGTAATTTTACCTTATCGATTCGCTAGAGTAAGATGTCCTTGCGCATCAAACTATTTTTGTTCAAATGAAACTGAGATAATTTGTCAGCGGCTATGTAGGACCACTAGTATTCCACTCGTTATTTCAAGAATTATCATTAGAATGGTCAAAACCAGCGACCACGATATCACGTAACCATCCTGCGCTTTGTATACTCCGAAAATGATGTCACCAACTAGGACAAGCAGCGCTGAAATTAATGGAAAAAAATCAGCCAAACAAAAGGAAAGTTGTTTGGTCTTCAAACACATAATTTCTTAAACATTATTTAATAATATAATTTCTTAAACATTGCTAATACACGCAAAAATTCAGAATACCATCATTTTACACTCGAGAAACTTTTTTTAACAAACAAGAATAGAACTTTTCACTTATTCTAGGGAATAATGGCAATTACCCCGTTTCATCCGCACTGTGATTTTTTTCTGCCATAATCCTGAACTTAACTTAAAGCAAAAAATACAAGACCACAACATTTTTTTACGTACCTGCCACAAAGTGAAGTCCGGCTTGTGTGTACAAAATGCCAGGCGTATCGAACCGTGGCACACAAACATACACCAGAGACACTATCAGAGCTTTTAGGATAAATATGAATCCTATACACTCCAATGTTCGTGTTACAGCAAGCCAGCCTGAAATTTTAAATTCTTAAGATCATAAATAAAATTATAAACTTATATATATATATATATATATATATATATATATATATATATATATATATATATATATATATATATATACAGACTTGACATTTAATATGGAATATTTTTTTCCAAATCATTTTTCATCAGTTTTTACCTATTTTGCTGACTGATAAATGAAAATAAGGATTAAAATCGTGTTCTAATAACTTTTAATTATCTCTTTGATGTCATTGTGACATCAGTTCATTAATGGAATTCGCCAGAGAAGCAAAACAAAAACACATTGCCTTTTCTATTTCATACGACAACCATTAAAAGAGATATTTTGGATCTCCATATTTTCCAAATTATTGTCTGTAAAAGAGTTACACGCTCCACAAAGGACCCTCATGTCAGTAACTAGTTACAGTAACAGTCGCTGTTACGTCTGACCTCCTCTGGCTGCTACCAGCGCTCTCAATTGGCAAGGCTTTCCTTGGGATAGGTTTTAAGAGTTCAATCTGGAATAACATTCCAGGGATGGGTCAAAATCTGTCCAATTTGGTCCAGTTTTGTTGTAGGACATGTAGGCCATTCATTTGGCGAGTGATGGCCTACCCACATATTGTCTATGTGGTTCAAATATGGCGGTTTGATGACCAAGGTAGCTGCTCATTCCCTTGGTTCTGTAAGTAATCTGCTATTAAAAGTACTCTGTGTGAACCGGCAATCTCACCGTGTAACCTAAAATTGTTCCTAAGGTGCCCACTATCAAATGATAGTCAAGATGTTCCCAGATTATTTCTTTATTTGATCTGGTTCAAGTTTTCGTCGATGACTCCCATTGGTGTTTTGGCACCAATGTGGTATCCACTTCAAATACTGACGCTGTTAATGACCTAAGTCACTTTAAACGCGACACACACTTCGTCGTTGGCCTCTTCTGGATGTCTGTAAACTCTGTTTTGATTAGTTGAGCGGTACAGGTGAAATCTGACCTCAATAAAGAAAGCCACGAGGTTTTATTGTTCATCCCAGAAACGGTCAGGGTCCCCAATTCATTAGAGAAACATACAACGATGTTTTGCTGTTTACAGTAGGTTCCTCGGAGGTCGTCTGGTATTCTAACCTGCTAAAACCAGTTTGGTGTTCGCTAAGGGCCTTGAAAAATGCGTTTTGGTGGCAATTTACCCCTCATTTTGAACGGACTGGGTGGTTTTTGTTTAGTTGCAACACCATATCCTGAAAGACAGTGGGTCCTGTACTCTGGTGGTAAGATTTTAATACATTGGGTGTGGCCTCTATGTAGGTACATCAGTCTGGGCATTACACTATAAAACTGTACGGACCGTTTCGTTTGGCGCAATTAACTGTCTGGCAATGTCTTTCTTTTTCGTGCCATTTTGCCACAGATTAACAAATTTGTAAAGCACTGCATAACTCATTTTACACACTGTAAAACCGACCACTTGCATGCAAAATTTCAAATTCTTCTATGCAGTAGTTGCCGACATATGGATACTTTTTTGACAGAAGCATGCTTTGCCAAAGCCAAGCTTTGACCTGCCCAAAGGAACACTACCCAATAAAAATTACTGCATATTACATAATGCAGCAGCGTAACAAACCTGGTATTCTGTTAATTGGAAGCGACACACCTGACTACACACTTTTCCATTTACATGTCTTATATGAGATCGCAGTTTTTTGAAAAAAGAACGCATTTCTACCTAGGCGTACCCTCGAAATTGAAATATTCCATATTAAATGTCAAGTCTGTATATGTTAGATGCTAAATAGAATATATGCTTTTATAGGCCTACAGGACATTTAAATTAGTAGGCCTATGTGCTATTTGAAAAAGCAAATAGAAAGGAGGGTTTGGTGGATAAAAAGAGATAAGATTATATCAATTTAATATTTAATAATATGGTTAATATTAATTATATTATTAAATATTAATTATATCAATATTTAATATTTAATAATATAATTAATATTAACCAGCCTATGAACTGCTATGATTAAAATGATTGAATATTACCCTGATCAGCCATGCATCATCCATTTGCCGGCCACTGTCAATGTATGGGACTCACCTCCGACAATTCCTGAATAGCCACAATTTCCATCAGAGCAAATTTCCCATAGCCCGACACTAACTGTTATTTGTCTCCCATCAAGAACAAGATTGCCCTCTGCCCAATGCGGTGTAGCAAACCCTATGATGAATACAAGCAGCCCGAGGAAAGACGTCACCAGTGATACTTTGTATTTTTTCGATAACCTCCAAATATTGATGAGAAGACGCTCTCGGAACCCGATTTCCACTATGTCAGGCATGATTGCGAAAATGACACGATTTCGAAGTTGAACTAAAACTACACTTGTCTATAATCATGGTTTGTAGATTAAACTGAACAATGTTAATCTACCCACTTTTACAAATGTACATGAATGTTAATTAAATGTTAAGTTAAAAAAACACTTTATTTCGTTTTAAAATGCTAGGATTGCCTTTAGAGGAAGAGCGAAAAAATCATGCATATATAATATTATTCGAAAAGTTACAAAGATTGCATAAGCTTAATTCGCTTTAACCTTCAAAATCATTAAATATCTGAATTAAACGAGTGTTCGAGGGTAAGCCTATCTATCCTCTGTGTTAGATAGTCTGATATGAGTCGCCATGGAGACAGTGCGGTTCAATATTGCTCATCCCTCTGCTGAGATTAATATCTGATGATCAATGGACCCGATATAAATGATATATGTATTTTTCAAAATAGTTTAGCATAATTAAATATGTTTATATCAGATATTTCTTTTTTAAAAGATTACAAAAACCATAAATGGATTTAGAATTTAGTAGATCCCAGCTATTCTCCAAACTGTTTTTGAACAACTCTGACGACACCAACTAAGTATTTCGGCTTTTACCTTCCTCCATTGTATTTCCTTTTACATGACTGCTAAAGGTACCCAATCTGAAAGTGCAGGTTCAAGGTCTGGAATATTCATATTCTTTTTCATATACGTGACCCAATGCCCAAAGCTCTCATGCTTTTTAAATAGTGCACATTCTACGTGTACTGTTCTAAAATGCATTTTACACGTTAGATAAATAAAAGCAGTGCATGCGACTGTTATATTTTTCATTTTTTTAGAGATTTATACATAGTGATTAGGAATTGAAGCAGATTGATGGTTGGAAAGCAATAGAAAATTCATGTTCCCTTTCCTTGCTTGGTCTTGTGGACAGTTTTTCGATGTACGTTAAAACATTCAGGGTAAATAATGGGAATGCTGTGAACGAACATTCAGATGCTTTGAAGCAGCACTGAGCTACTGAACAGTACCAAATTATGAACAGTATATGCCCTTCCTTTATATATGTAAAAAAAAACTGGAAATACAAAATATCAATTATTATTTATATGCACGTAAGACCACATCAAAAAGCATTAATATCGTAGGTAAGAATGGTTTATATAAATATTAAAGGACCCTATCAAGTCAACATTACCAAGATTGGTGCCCCCCAGCTGATTGTAAACAGGTTATCAAAATGGACCGATACATACCGAGAATAGTAGTTCAACAGAATACTGAGACTGCTTTTCAGATCAACGACAATGTGAAACGTTCTTTTTACACTTTCAAATGATGACGAAGTTTATGCAAAACACCAAGACTACACTGTTAAATTAATTCACATAATATGCCCAATGTAGAACTTCTTCAAACTTCCGTTGGTTTTGTATATAAACCGATCTGTGTGTCCAGAAAAGGTTTTGCGTGAGGCACTGGCTTATTCACCACCGGCTTTCTAACAAAAGCGTTCCTTGTGCTACACAATTCATTCTGGTTGGTTGCCAAGTTCTGCAACCTGGCAGCAGCTTCTTGCAATACTGGAGTAACCTTCCGTCGATTGACCCTCTGGATGTCACCACTTCCCGAGTGAGTTGAGAGAACAGGATTAATATCAAATGGGTCGTCAAACCTTTTTGAAAAAGCTGGATCTGGTAATATTCCGCAAGACTTACTACTTGTAAGATAGGGCACCTCTGTATCGATATCTAATGCCCTTGACGATCGTCGGATTGGGTTCTTTGCGGTAGGTGTTGATCTTTGTGTCGCCATTGGCGGTGGCCGACCTCTAGACATACTGACAGGGGCAAAAGCACCTTGATGCAACTGTTTTGAAAACCCTATCTTATGAATACTATCACTAGACCTGCTTCTCCTTTTTGGAGTTGATGGTAATTGCCAATCAAACATTTGAGATTCTCCAGTTGCAGCCGTATGAGTAACGTCTGCAACTGCATTAACAGACTTCACGTCATCATTTCCATTATAAAGTAGGTTATCAGAGGCAAAAAGATCCTCAAGCAATTTAGATGCGCTAACACTGATGCGCTGTGAAGACAAAAGGCTCCTTTGCTCCGTTTCGAAATTTCCAATTCCATGAGGGGCGCTGGGTAGAATAACATTTATTGTTATATTTGGTCGATACTCTTTATGTCGTGGTACTTGTTTTTTGATGTTGGGATCAACATTCGCGTCACAGGCTCCATCATCCAGCTCTTCAGTATATTCATTATAATATTCCCCGAGATTGTGGGCAGATCTGGACCGTAAACTATTTGTCAAACTTCCTGTTTGACACTGAGCGCGTGGCAGGTCTTCCTCGCTGCTACAAAATGAAGGGTTGCTTTGGCCGGTACAAAGAAACTGTGACTGCTTTAACCCTGGGGTTGCCAAGGGCGAGGAAATGGCTATATCGGATTGGCGTTTTTCGCTCTTTTGGAGCAAAAGGTTTTCGATGCAAGGTAATTCTCTTTTCTTATTCGCAGCAAACTTTGTTCGATTGTGCCTTGACATTTGGCTACAACTGTTGTTCCGATGTCGTTTGCGAACGTGCTTGGCAGAAAGTCCGTAAGTGGTAGAGAATGCAACATCACGATTAACAGTTATGTAAATTGGTTTTCCGTTGGCGTCGACTCTTGTGTAGCCCTTGTACCTTAAAGGAATTTTGACTTGTTTGGAGACAGATGTATCTACACTCCTTGGGACCGGCGGGTTTTGTTCTAAAATGTCACACCTGTAATTTGATGGTGAATGATTAGCTTGCAAATTATCGTTTGTTGGAGAATCTGAGGGATTCTGCGCCTGACACTCTGACATTGAGACTTGAGCTGGTCCCGTTGATAATTCTTCAGTTTCCGGACTGTGGACTAATATCTGAGGGATAAAAGAGTGTTGCATTTTTTGCTCCTTAGAATCTTCATCTTTATTAAGTTCTCGGCAATTTGTTTGCGCACAATTTCCCCTATCTGTTGGTATCTCAACATAGTCGGGTCCCAGATGACGAGAATATTGTGAACCGAAGCTGTTTGTTATGCCTGCTCCGATTTCTTTGAACTCATCAGCAGAATGCAATGATGACTGACTGTTAGTTTCGGTGGTGGGTTTATCTATGTCTGTCTTCTCGTGTACTTCATCCGTCTTTTGTGGCACCGTCTGGTTATCTAGACCGCCTCTAGGCTGATCTCTCGTAAATTCCGGTAAAAGTCTCGGAGTACTTTTTCCAGATTCGCTTGGGGTAGCAGAAAATATTCCAGAATCGCGGGGGCCAATGATTTCATGTTTGCCAATTTTCCCCTTGGCTACATTTACACTTGATGACAAATTTCCTTCTTTTTGGCTTGATTTGTGGTTTTTCTCATCTTCGTCATCGTTCGATGAGCTGTTAGAAACTCCCTGTTGGCCAGGTGTATTTGAAATACTGACAGAAAGGTCCTTCGGTTCATCGGCATTCAAAATGTTTGTAGAAGTGCCATTTGGTTCTCTGGTACTTGGAAAATAAGTGGTTTCTGTGTCTGGGGTGATGGTAGAGAGACTTTCTTGCTTTTCGAAATTAGGTATGCCGCTGAGTTCAGACTCAGTATCATTCTGACTGTCGCTATTTTTAAGCTTTTCTTCCTCGGCTTTGGCATTTTCCAAATCAACCGAATTGTCCCAGTCTAAGTGTAAAGGATCACCAGAGATATCATCTTTGACTTTCTTTTCATCTGCTAGTCGAATGTCCAAAAGGCAGTTAAGGCTTCCACGCCAATTTTCAAGGTCTACCTGACTCAATTTCGGAGTTCCCGGAGGGAGCGAAACAGTCGATATTTTCTTTTTTCTTCCAAGTTTACCAAGTATTAATTTGTCATTAAGGTCTGTCAACGAATTTACTGAACCAGCTGCAGAGGTTTTGGATAATTTTCTCAGGTACTTTTTGTATTCTTTCAAGTCTGATGGCCCTGAATAAGAGAGCGTGGGCTTGGCGAAACGTTTCGGATAAAAATTTGCACTTGCAGACGTGGAGCTGGACGGCTCGGTTATGGACACTTCAGAGGAGCAGTGCTCCGAAACTGCTTCTTTGTTTTGTGTTTCAAAGGTTTTCAAATTGACGATCACCTGATCTCCTTTGAGCGAGCTCTCGCCAGTTTGCATGTGTACGCCTGTATCAACAGTCCTTGAGAGTTTGGACGTACTTCTTGCCTTTTTCAGCATCGAATAATAGCGACAGCAAAAGAATATATTAGAAATTATATTAAAACACTTTCTTCTGAAGTTACTGCTCATAGCCGTGAATATTACAGGAGTGACGACGGAGTTCACGAAAGCCATTAAATGCACAAAAAGCATTGTGAAATAAAATTGGCCACCTTGAAAGTCCACAGCTTTTGTGATACTTAATATGTTGACCAAGTAGAACGGGAACCAGGAGATAATGAAAGCAGCTGTTATCACGACGACCATTTTGGCAACCTAAAAAAAATTATAACAAAATTGTTCCACTAAACACTAAAAAGAACACTGAACGCGAAAAGTCGCTTTTTCCTTCGTTTTGTTTGCATCTTAAAATTTATTCAGTCACGCATACGCGCACAGTCACACACGCGCGCGCGTGCTTACACATACAAAAACCATGCATTAATTTATTTTCGCAACTATTATTAATTTGTTTTGTAATCACAAGTACACTTGAATATGTTGAGAGTGAATAAACCACGCATTATAATTGATTAAAATCAATAATCAAAGACTAAATTCTCTCTAA